CCAGTCAGTCTGGTTGTTATGTAAGCGTATCACAACCAGTTAGTTTTCTGCAAATTCTCAAAGTGTCACCTTCAAGGTGATGATGCCAAGTCTTTCTGCATTTTTCTCTGGCTGATTATTTAATGACAGTGTGAAGCTTTCATTTCGTGTTGTTACAACAAATCTGTTTTTATGCTTTATCTGGACCTGAAGCTGAAAAACATGGTGAGACTTTACTTGTTAGTAAATGTTAGTAAATGTTAGATATATCAGTATCTAACATGCTGTTGTGACCTTTTTGTAGGTGGAGATGATACAACATGATGTATATATTGTAGTATCATTCAACTTTAATTGTTCATCATTTATATGCAATCAGCACAAAACTAAAGTCAGAATCTCATGAATGCAGTTCAACTTTTCACCAGCAGGATTTAACCTCAACCATCTCTACTGCGTTACAAATACGACTAATAGTCTGTCTCAATTATGCATATAAAAAAATAGACAGCAAAAAATATAAAACAAATTTACTGCTGACAACGAATCTTCCACAAAAAGACGAGACTCAAAAACAGGAAGGTCTGAAGGATCCATAATACTTGGAGATGTTTCCCACACCAAATGACTTTTTAATAAACTTATTCTCTTATTAATTATGAAGTAAAATAATTACTGTCCCTATCTTAGTTGTATTCTTGTTAAAAACATGTAAATTAAGACAAAAGGTCTCATAATTAATTGAAAAAATAACTGGAAAGTGCCATTTGAAGCCTCTGCAGGCGTTCTGTGTCTCCTCCAGAGATTCAGCGAATTTATCAGTGATTCTCAGGACCTGAAAGTGAGAATGTGCAGGAAACATTAACGCTCTTAAATAAACCGACTGTTTGTGGAATGACTCCATTCCTTAAGGACTGTAATGCAGCAATATGTATATTAATAATGTAGCAAAGCTGACTTTTTGAATAAAACTACATTATGTTATAGTCAATGCAAAATGTAAACACAATATGGAAGTTATTGTTGCATTATGTAATAACATATTTGTCCCAGTTATTAAAAATGCTTTTTTACAAAAAGTAATATATGACTCATTAAATGATCTCAAGCCAGAGTTCATCTTAATCAAAATACTCCCAATACTGATCATGATTGAGACCATGAATTTTCAACGTTGATCAACTAATGTCAAACATTTGATCATTTAGTTTCTATTAAGACTTGGAGCTAAGTTCCTCTCTTAGTGACTGGGGAATGCAACTTGCTTCCGCAGGGAACAGTCCCAGAGCCAACTGCTTCTTCACTGAAGGCAATCAAGAAATGATGTCCTACTGTAGAATATTTGTTGCGACATTTGTCCTACATTTGAAGCCATCCTGCCAAGTGGCTGCAGCTCTGACATCTGCCTTGCGTGTGTTAAGATCGAACGTTCAGGAACATTTTTGGAAATTCAGGACATCTGCATTGAAAGCGTGGAGACGGAATAGAGACGGAATAGAGACGGCACAGAGACGGAATAGAGACAGCAGAGAGACGGAATAGAGATGGCACAGAGACGGAATAGAGCGAGTGTCCTGGATTTTCCAGAATGGCTCCATCTGGTGGCAGCTGCGGGTACTGGGGGAACTGGGTTACATTACAAGCTTTGAAAAATTCCTTCAGGCCCCTGATGTCTAATTTTTTCTCAATTTGGCGCCCTCTACAGGAATGTTGGAAAACATGTTCAAAGTTCAGGTTTTGTGTCTGTTCTCACAAGCCTCCACTTAGAATCCTTCAGTTGCAGAATAAAGGAAAGATTTGGAGGTTTATTTTTGTTTGCTACTGAATGAAGCTTTACTCACAAGTCTGATCATTCTATTATTGTGTCACTGTAATCTCAACTTCTTCAAGAGTAATAAAGTAGACTTATTTTAATGGTTCCCTTAGCCAAAAGTTATTTAAACCGCAGCCGGCTCAAGACAGAAACAAATTAAGCAACCCCTAAGGGCCCAGGGGCAACTAATGGGCCCCTCAGTGGAGTTGATTGTTTTTTTGTGTAACGATTTCATTCATTATAAAAACAAGAACTCACTAGCATTATAAAGTTGTGATTATTTTTTACAGTACTTTATAGTGTGCTGGATGTTGTATATGACTATGTAGCAATCATTATTTTTAAGAAACAAAGAAATGAATTGCCCTTGGGAGCCCCTGGTGGCCACGGCGGGTCACGCAGTAACCTCCAACGCTCCGGTGGAAGATAAGTTATCAAAACAATGTTGCAAAAATGAACTTATCCTTAAAGGAGAGAAAAAAGAAAGAGGAAGCATAGGAATAAAAGATGGTTTGTTTTTATGTGTCTTGATAATATTTATCAGAAAATGATCTTGACAGCAACCTGGAACGGTCCAGTTCAACAGCCAAACGTTTATCCTACGATGTTTGTGTGAAGCTGAATTGTACCTTTAAATAAATTGATTCTCATGGTGATTCTGTATATTTTAGAGGTTTTTTGGCTTCAAAACGTGTTTGATGATTAAAACTTCCCACTGTTTGATTTTAGCTAAATGTTTTTCCATCAGGCTACATGTCTGCTGCTGATCATTTATGTGATTAAAACAAACATTATTTTTAACATCAATTTCTAAGGTGTGTGAAAGTTCTGTTCAAATCGACCCATACTGGTACCGGTCCACATTCTCAGGGCAGAAAGACTCACCTGGATGAAATGATGGAATTACACCTACGAGAAATTAATTTAATCAAAGTATGTCATGAACATACTTTGATTAAATTATGTTTACTTAAGATAGAACATCTTAAGTTTTACTTAAGATGTTCTATCTTAAGTAAAACTGCAAGCACCAATTGCAGTTTTTATTGAAAACCTGACCTGATTTTGATTTCATCCGATTCCAACGTTTTTTGTCTGAAATGTCTCTAAACAGTGGGGTGAATATTTCAGGACTGACCCGGTGGGTCGTCTGTCAGTCAAACCTCTCACTGCAGAGCAGAAGAGGACAGAGATGAATTATAAACCAATTTTCACATCAGGGGTCGTCAGTATTGGGGGGTCACCGACATCCCAAAGTCCCGATAAATGTATCCTATATCATACTTTCATATAGGACATAATGTAAACAGTGATGTGATGGTTTCATCGTCTGACTACTGATTGCAGCAATCCAATAGAGGGCCCCAAAGCCAAACTTTGCTTAGGGCCCCTTGGATCCTTGGGCCGGCCCTGGGACTCCATACGAGTCTCAAAGAGTTTCCTGGATCAGATAATAAGAGCCTTTTGGATCTGCTGCAGTCCATCACAGCAGAACTCTGGATAAGTCATGACGCCAATGAGGGTCGTGTGTGTGGTGACTTCAGAACTAACGGGCCCCAAAGGGCCTGCATTAGATGCAGTGCAGTGTATATAAGGGAGCTGCACATCTTCTGGCAGCCATCTTGAATTCTCCATCTGTTTCTGGGTGTTTGTGGTGAAATCACTGAAAGCAAATGCATCAAAATCTAGACTGGAAAATCTAGTTATGTCAACGTTGTCCTGGTGCTGAAGTGAAACTTATTTACTGGTCTGTCTTCATTCCTACAATAACTATGAGATACAGAAAAGTCCAAAATTATTCATACCCCTTTGAGAAAAATTTACATTTCTGAAAGGAAATAAGAGGCGTTTCAAAAAATTTAAAATGATCAATTTTGATTTTAAAAGTCTTTTTTATTTCCAAATCATTTATACCCTTATCCTCAGCAATCAGTGGTAGTGGAAACTACAAATCTTTGAGTTTAGAAAACCTTCCAATCTTTTCCTTCCTTCACTGATTCACATTCAGAATTAAAACAATTTTAAAACAATAGTTTCAGTTAGAAGAAACCCCATGAGGGGCCCCATGAGGAGCCCCATGAGGGGCCACATGAGGAGCCACATGAGGAGCCACATGAGGGGCCACATGAGGAGCCCACATGAGGAGCCACATGAGGGGCCACATGAGGAGCCACATGAGGAGCCCCCTGAGGGGCACCCAGGAGCCACATGAGGAGCCCCATGAGGGGCCACATGAGGAGCCCCATGAGGGGCCACATGAGGAGCCCCATGAGGGGCCACATGAGGGGCCCCATGAGGAGCCCCAGGAGGGGCAACATGAGGAGCCCCATGAGGGGCCACATGAGGGGCCACATGAGGAGCCCCATGAGGGGCCCCATGAGGAGCCCCATGAGGGGCCACATGAGGAGCCCCATGAGGGGCCACATGAGGGGCCCCATGAGGAGCCCCATGAGGGGCAACATGAGGAGCCCCATGAGGGGCCCCATGAGGAGCCCCATGAGGGGCCACATGAGGAGCCACATGAGGGGCCACATGAGGAGCCCCATGAGGGGCCACATGAGGAGCCCATGAGGGGCCACATGAGGAGCCCCATGAGGGGCCACATGAGGAGCCCCATGAGGGGCCACATGAGGGGCCACATGAGGAGCCCCATGAGGAGCCCCATGAGGGGCCTCATGAGGGGCCACATGAGGAGCCCCATGAGGGGCCACATGAGGAGCCCCATGAGGGGCCACATGAGGAGCCCCATGAGGGGCCCCATGAGGGCCACATGAGGGGCCACATGAGGAGCCCCATGAGGGGCCCCATGAGGAGCCCCATGAGGAGCCCCATGAGGGGCCTCATGAGGGGCCACATGAGGAGCCCCATGAGGGGCCACATGAGGAGCCCCATGAGGGGCCCCATGAGGGGCCACATGAGGAGCCCCATGAGGAGCCCCATGAGGGGCCACATGAGGGGCCACATGAGGAGCCCCATGAGGGGCCCCATGAGGAGCCCCATGAGGGGCCTCATGAGGGGCCACATGAGGAGCCCCATGAGGGGCCCCATGAGGGGCCACATGAGGAGCCCCATGAGGAGCCCCATGAGGGGCCACATGAGGGGCCACATGAGGAGCCCCATGAGGGGCCACATGAGGAGCCACATGAGGGGCCACATGAGGAGCCACATGAGGACATGTTTACCAGTAAAAAAAACAGAAGCATCAAACTGATGTTAATGTGCATTTATTAATTTAAATAATAGCTTTGGTGTTTAAAATACAGAAAGAAAAGATTTACATTTGAAAGGATAAAAACCAATGCAATGAATTTGTATCATGATTTGAATGTTTTTTACAAGTTTTTCCCTAATTTCCATGAACAAATTATGTAAAGATTTGAATGATTCTTCTGAGACAGATTAATTTCATGACGCTTATAAAGACATCAAAAAGGTGAGATGAAGTATTTTTGTGCATGTGAGTAAATAAGAGCTAATGGTGACAATAGCATTGCCTGAGTTATTGCAGCAGTGGGGCTCTCAGGCTGCTTGTAGGATTATTTGTAGAGCAGTGTGAGCAGAGCGGTCAGGAGAGCAGAGGCTGGTGATTTTGTGAACTCCAGGACACCATTAGTGGCTGCAGCTGTAAATCAAACAAACACAGTCCGTTTACAACATTCCTGATTTAAACTCTACAGCTGAATCTTTAGAAATGATTTAAGGTAAGTAAAGTATGCTCACGTTGGGATGATATTGCTGTACTGGCTGGGGTTGTACTTGAACTGTTTGTGTTTCCTAAACAAAGAATGAAGCTTGTTAGAGGCGCCCCCTAGTGGCTGTAAACAGTAAAACTACAACAGAAGACCTTTGACACCACGTTACTGCAGACACTTAAATGAAACAAGATGAATCATTAGAATTGTTATTTAATCACATGAGATCTGTGAGATGTCTAATTTGTCCTTTAGCTCACAGAGCTCCAACAGTTACAAATGAAAACTGTTCAGTACAGAAAACACAGATGATGGCAAAATATTTTTTTCATTTTAAGCAACAGTTTAGCTGAATTTCAGATTGAAACACAGCATCACCCACCGTTTCTGATTCCAACCTGGACCACTTTCAAAGAGAAAGGTGATAGTTTTACCCTGTGGCTCGGTGCTGTTTGTAGCGGTTGGTACTGTGGAGTCGGCCCTAGTGGTGGTTAGATTCAAACCGAGTGTGTCCAGGTCAGACTGTCGCTGTAGGTTCACCCAGGTCTGGACCACAGTATCATTCTCAAACAGCTTGAGATCTCGGAGGTTTTCACCCATCAGACCTTTCACGTTGGCCACAGTCAGATACTGTGTTGGAAAAAAACAAACACAGGAAGATTTATGTGAGGATCTTTCCTTTTCAGGACCACACAGTTACTGTAAGTAAATGCACTAAGCTGAGGCTGGTTTTGCAGCTTTGGCCACTAAAATGACTTTCCATCCACTGGTACCTCTCACACAGACACTTTTCTGGTATGGTTTGTTCACATGTGAACTTACAGTTATCACGTTGATATCCAGACTCCTGAAAGTGTTGACATCCATGCTGATGTTCTGACTTGATAATGCTGCAATATCTGCTTGAGGTGCTCCACCTACCGACCAGAAATAGGAAGGCTAAATTACTGAAGGGTCTTTACTTGTATACTTAGGCAGTTACCAGGCATGCTCACCTAGATAGCCTTTAACCAGGTTAAAAAAGTTAATGGGATTATCACGATGGACACTGAAGGAGTGTTGCTGATCTCATAGAGGACTCTCTTCTGCTCAGTTGAACATGATGCCACATCTAGATGCTTGGCATTTCTGACAACAGATAAAGAGGCATTCAGTGTTACTTTCACGCCCACAGTGGATATATTTGTTATATCCATGCTGACACCAACCTGATACTGTCTGCTGTGATGGTCTGTAACGTGCTGGCGTCCAGTGAGCACAGGTTGGAGTCAATAATGTTCAGTTCACTGCGGCCCAGTGAATTTCCAGAGGTATTCAGGTATTTGGTGATGATTGCTTTGCTCTATATGTAGCATAAAGTAAAACTCATCAAGTTACCCAATTCCAGTCAAATGAGAGTTTTGCTGTACCTGTGCCGTCTGCCATGTTCCATCTTCAGGTTTCATCAGAGCTGCCAAGGTATCCAGTTCAGTGACGTTCCACTTAGAGATGTCATCAAGTGTTGCTGTGCGAGAGACTGAAGCAAGCATCCGTACTTCCTGATCAGGACTCCAGATGGGAATGCCTGGAAGGAGATTATGAAATTATAAGAGCAAAGTGTTGAATATGAAGTCAAATCTTAATGCATGAAAATAATATGATGCTCATTAATTTGTCTCAGGCTGATGAAATGCCTGCCATCTCATGATGGCCACTGGGTCTGTTGGTCATAAAGCACATAGCGCTTTTTGACCAAACTAGCACAAGTTACCTGGTTGAGCTTCTTCAGAAGGATTTTCTGGAAGTCATCATCATCCACTTTCTGGCAGATAGTGTAGAGGTTGTCTTTTAGAACGGAACGTCCAGGCAGAGGTCGAACTGCGTCACGTCGTAGCCAAAGGGGAAAGACGGGTCGCTAACAGTCACCTGGGTGATGTTGCCCTCAGAGCATCCTTGTAAAAGTTGGAGAAAAAGAGTTGGGGTTTAGTTTGCAACTAATTTATTCCACTTAAATAACTTAATCTTAAATCATTTAGGAAATCTTGCAGTCTTGTCTTCAGTAGCTGCTTTTACCTGCTCCTCGTTTTGCTACTGTAGGCCTGAGCTCTGAAAACAGGTTCTTGAGCTTCATCTTCTGAGTTTTTTGTTTCCTTAGGTCAGGCATGAAACCCTTAAGGAATCTTTTCTGTGTTGCCTGACAAAGTATCAATAAAATGACAGTTAGTTCTTTCATGAAAGACAAATGAGTTGTTAGATGAATTTATGTCATCATCATCTTAATCTCATCAGACTTACAGCTGGGAAATTTGTCCAGATTTTTCTTGTTAATACAAGGAAGTGTTCCCAGCCCCTCCAGCGTCTGTTGGTCCCAGCTGTTTACAGCTCTGAAAAAAAGTTTGTTCAAATATGAGACATCTAAAAAATATTGAAATATACTCAGTCATCATTCAGACAACAAGCAACTGACTAATTGTTGCCTGGTGAGTTGCTGTGATATCCATCCTGGTCAGCCTGGACGTTAGATGTAATAAAGAGCCCACTTTATCTCAACTTGTATTAAAATGTCGGACAACAGAAGTCGAATCATTTTTCCCTGCAGACTAAATGACTGGATTAATTTCTTTAGTACCCGTATTGTGTTTTCCCAACAGCAGCAGTGTTTCCATAGCAGCCACTTGGCTGGCAGAGAGGTCTTTGCAGGCTTTGAGTTTTTCCAGGATGAGAGGATCTGAGTTCTCAATGTCGGATCTATCCAGAGTGCAGACCATGTTCCCCAGGACCTCCACATTGTCTCTGCTCAGGCTTTGGCCACTGATCCCCTGAAACAGGGAAAAACATTCAAATCAGTGAAGACGTTTCATCACTCTACTGTAGAAGATTAATTTGAGGCACATGTGTAATGTGTGCTCTGACGCATGCTGCAGGTAGGCTCTCTGTATATTGTCTGTTTTGTTGGATCTCACCAAGCGTCTCTAGCTTCCCTCAACTTCTGTGGGCCCTTGTTCAAGGTGCTGGAGGCCACAGAGAAGTCTGCTGCACCCAGGGCAGAGAAGTAGGACCTGCAGTTTGCTTTCTGGACATTTTTGGAGCTGTTGGTGGAGATTGTTGTAAAAAAATAAATCAATAAAAGGATCAGACAACTTTTCCAAACAACTGGCACAATAGTTACAATAATTAGGTGCAGAGGGACTCACTCCAGTAGAGAGCATGTCTGAAGGGTAATCAGTGAAGTTCTGAGAGAGGTCGTCACGGATTAGGTTGTGCATGCAGGTCAGCTGGAGGTCACAATGTGAGTACAAGGATGGAAAACTGGTTCTTATAACTGCAGCTTATGTTTCATTTCAAATCTTGCCACTCGATAAATTGTAACCCGAAACTCTATTTAAATCTTGATCTAGAGGCAGCAGAACTTACCTGAGGTTCCTTCAGGTCCACCTTGGCTCTGCCTTTCCTCGGCCTGCAGGCACGGATCATCTGCTTGATTTTGGCTTTAGACATTTTCTGAACTGTGCCGCATGTGAAGCCTTGCAGCACAGATGGAGAAAGCCTGCAGAGAGAAGTCAGAAAAATTACACCGAGATATTCAAAGATTCACACTAAATACCAGGGTTGGTAGGTTTGTTCACTTACTGCTCAGTGTCAAATTGTGGCTCAGACAGCGTCGCAAAAAACATGGTGGACTGAAAAAGCAAGAAAAAAAGTTTAAGACTGGTAAGTATTTTCTTAACCTACGTAAAAGAAAACCACAGACAACATTTTGGTTTTCAAACCAAGTGTTGTTTTGCAAAAGGGGAAGACATAGCAAAGCTCCTTCCATGTGTTCTGGCCTTTGTTTTCAGAACGACACAAAGAAAGAGGAAAAACTTCTAAAGAGAATTAAGACCATCTGCAAAAACATCTGCATGGTTGAAGAAAGGTTAGTGATGTTTTACACACATTTTAACAAATTAAACCTTCAAATGAACTAGTAAAACTACTAATGTAAGAATGATAACATCACATTATTTTCATAAAGATGTTAGTTGAGCTTCTGTTTTCTAAATTTGAAAAGCAAAGGAATAAATTCAGGTTTGCTTGGCGTTAAACTGTCTGAACAGAAACTGCAAGTCAATGAAATGAAATACAAAGAACTATAAGATAACAGTTGTTTTTTCTGAGTCACATTACAAAATATTTAAGTGTATATAATTATTATTTTTACTTTCATCAGTGGTAAACAAAGAATATTTTTCATTTCTAAGATTGCTTTGATTTCATATTGTTCCAAAACATTAAAAATAGAAAGTACAGACTTGACCTGAGATTTGTTTGCATTGTTTTAAAAGGTTAAAATTGTACGATCAGCCACAGCCGGTTCTGGTTGATTATGGTCCATGTTGATGCTTTGCTGCACTTAATTCCTCACCTAAACTTTCTGCATGTGTTCAGGTAGCATAAAAAATGTTCCTCACATTTCTAAGAAAAATATATGAGACATGTTGACAGCAGTAGAAGTCTCCAACTTTTGTGTTACCTTTGCGTATTTAATATAGTTTGTCTCTAACAAATTTAGCTTTGGGGAGATTGCTCATGTTTCAAATGAATCCACTGGCAGCCAGAATCTGCTTCACACTATTTTCCATTCTGCATCAAACAGAAAACACTGACCTGATCTGCGGTCCACGTCTTCTTGTTTATTGCGGTGATGTTGGCAGTTCCCTCAGGAAACACCAGCAGGACGGGTGGGATCTCTGCTGCCAAGGCATCCGGGACGTTCTCCACCACTTTGGCTGGACTGGAGTCCACAGAAATGATCTGGATGGAGAACAGGCATTAGATTCTCCATTCACGCAGCAGTAAACAAGAGAAAAAGTTCTACCAGTTCTTGAGTCGTTTCACTTTTTGGACACTATAACAAAGCTTGTCTTTAAATCTAATGAGTAGAACTGTCATGTTTTAACAGCATCAGGCTGAAAAGCTACACATGTGGAACATTTTAGTCGCTTCAACTTGATGCACAACTTTCAGTCGATGTTTCATTGTGTATATTTCATTTATAAATAAAGATTCAAATAAAACATACATATTAAAATACCTGCATTTTCTACACAAATACTTTCCCAATCTCAACTAAGAACTCTGGCAGATTTTTTTATTCACACAATGTTCTGAATAGATGATCATGAATGAAGTTTCATCTTTTTACCTTTCTGATAAAAGCGTCCTGGACGACCTTCGGGGCTTCCAGCATGTTGGAAACAAGCGTCGGGTTCGTGGAGGCGCTGAGTATTTCAGAAGCTGAGATGCTGTTGATTGACTTTGAAGGAAGTCCAATGATCAGAGTCCCCAGAAACTCCAGAGAGGCTGCGCTGTTGACCTGTCAGTTCAGTAAAAACCTGATCAGTGAACTGGAAGCTGATTGCAGGGAACTTTCTAATCTATCAAGATATATTTAGTCTACACTTCATGGATAAAAGAATTAAAGATGTGATTATTATGGGCTGGTACCGGAAAGGCCGAGGAGGAGGTGATGGAGTGGATGATGTTGCTGGCCTGGTCCAGTCCCCAGCTGTTCACTGAGCTCAGGGTGGACAAAGACAAAAGCAGAACCGCAGGAGACACAGACAGGATCTGGCTGTTTGTGAGGCCAGAAGACGCACTTCCAAGGTCTTTAAATGTTTGCGCTGTGATGACCTTGATGTTGGATGCCAGAGCCGCAGATCTCTGTTTTATAAAACACACATCATTAACGGCTGTGAACTGAATTTCTGGTCAAAACATCCCTTTACATCTATTAAGTATATATAACTGTTTTATGTTGCATTTTCATAGTTTAAGAATTCTACCATCAGTACTTCCTTTGTATCAATGATCATTTGGTGAGCAGATCAACACATCTGAACCTGGAGGGTTTAAATGAACCCAGATTTATAGAACGGTGTGATGGCTCCCTGCTGTGTTGCAATGTGGCCGTGTTAGGAAAATTATTATCTTAGTTCATTTACTTTTATTTGAAAAGTTATGTTTTCATATTATTATTCTCTGTGTTGTTTTCTTGACTCCTTTCTCTTATGCTGTACTCTGAACTGTTTTCAGCTTTTCTCTTAAGGGTTAGAGATGTTTTACACATCTTTGTGTTACGAGCTGCTCTGATCTTTGTCTGTATCCTGATAGCGGTCATCCTTGTGTCCTTGTACGGGGATGTCAACGGAAGACTTCCAGAACATCCTGTAGGATAGGGTATTGGTCAATTGTTTGCATGACTGTGTGAAAAAGCCAACTTTGTCTATTCACATAATAAAAGGCAGTTGGGGACTGAGAGCCGGTGGAGTTGATCCCAGACAGCGTTTGGCAGCGGTTCTCTGCATTGAGCTCTTCTTCCCTCTTCTGCAGAAAAGTCATTTGTGTCTTTGCTTGATTCTTGCAGGTTGGAAAACAAAATAAACCCAACAGGCCGGTTAATTGTCTTTCAATTATGGTCATGTGTCCACCAGCTCGTATTTATGGAGCGCCCATTCCACTCGTGGCAAATGAGATCCAGAGCTGGAGGCGGGGCCAGATGGCGCGGAGGTCGCTTGACACGGTGTGGGTGCAGAAGCCGAGACCTGCGTGGGCCATCCACTCCATGACTGAGTGAGATCTGCACCAGGTGGAGGACCAGGGGAGGGAGCTGGGGGTGGTAGTGGTTGTTGGGTTGCTGCCCATTACCCCAAGACAATCATTCTTATAAATAAATGTCTCTGAAGGGCTTGAAATGGTTCTTGTTGTCATGTCCTCCCAGTTCCTTGTTGCAGTCTTCTGAGCCGGACCGTCACAAGGGATTTCTATAGGAAGTTACATCAGTGACTGAAACTAAAGCTCAGTAGGCGTTGGTCAGTGGTACCGCCTCTTTGCACCTAAGAATTTGCAAATTCAGCAAATTATTCATGGAAAATGAGCCTGATTTTTTCCAACAGCTTATCCTAACATATTTGATTAGGAAGCTGAAATACCTAGATGCAATACTAGTGGTCATGCTATTGGCTGGGATTTGCAAAGCAGTCAATGTAAGAGTGCCATGAATTTTCCTCGGCGCTGATTGGCTAAAACCCCAAGAGTGATAAGGAAGTCCATGGATATTAGCTTCAGCTGTAGTGCTACGATGGTTTCCACTGAGTATTAATGCATATTAGGATATATTTGGTGATGAACAGGCTGCTCAATGCCACACCTGTTTCCTAATCTAGTCACTGAACTGATGTGAGGAGGATCACTTCATGGATGTTCTACATGGAGAAAGCTGCGTCCAAAACCCACAGATGGTTTCTGAAAGTCGTCTTTAGGTGTCGGGACATTGCGTGCCTGGTTTCCTGTCTCGGTGTTGCCCTGTGACGGACTGGTGATTTGTGACCTCACCTTTTGCCCAATAACAAATGGATACATAAACTGAACTATGGGAATATACTGAAATAATCAGTTAGGACCATTTTTAATGGGCTCTCAAGTTTTGGTATTTCAGCAGACAGCAGTGGTTCCTAACCCCCATCATTGTCTATACAGGGGTCCACTGTACAGACAATATTTGCTTTTCATCTTGTTTTTCTGAATTTAAATGCATAACTGCAATCAAAAGAGAAATCTTGAATGAAATAAAGAGAAAGCATATTGCTGCAGGTCATAGAACCTCTGTAACATTTGGTACCTCAGGATTCTCTGTGCTGTTGCAGAATTTCTTCAGCTTGTCCAAGATGGCCATCGTATCAGCCTCATTAAGAGAAGCAAATGACGAGCTGGGGACGTCAGGCGAACAGATTAAAGACCCAGGGAGCCTGAATGAAAGGTGACATGTTGAAGAATGATTTTAGTAAAATGAATAAAACATTACTTTCTTGTAATAATAATGTTTTCTTTTCAAACTGGTGGATAGTTACATAAAGAGTCCAAAGGTCGGGTAGAACTCATAAAGCTGCAAGATGTAGTAGTCTGTTACATCTTGTGGGATCGCTGCGTTGTTAAAGAGCTCCAGATTAGCCTTATCCTCCAAGAACACATTCAGCTTCAAAAATAGATGAGGAAAACACAAAACAGGTCAAAGACATTCAGACGAAACCTGCTGGATCACACAGCTCAGGTCAGCAGGTTTGTAAATTTCTGATTTTGTTTGTTGGTAAGTTGCAAATTGAAAGTTTCAGAAATACCTGGGAGGTGTTGACAAAGCTTTTGAAATCATCCAGAGTGATAAATATCACAAAGCTGCCAATGTAGTTGACAAACCAGGAGGTGGAGTTCAGGTCTGGGTCTGTGAGGTTGGAGCATCTGGTCACAGGTTCTGAGGAAAAACAGAGACTTTCAGTGTTTTAGGCAGCAGACTTCACTAATGTCATTAAAATGTAAATGATGTTTTCTGTTTCCTAAATCAAACTTTTCATGGGCTTATTACTGCCTCAGTGCATAAACACTGTTACATGCTGTGGTGTTTGTTCATTCCAGGTTGCTGCTCTGCAGCAGCAGCAGCTGGTTCCTCTCTGCCTCATGATGAACAGAGTATGAAGCTCGGTGGGCCCCTGATTGCAGGGCCTCTTGGCCAACTGGTAGCTTGTGTGCTGCAGCTTTGTGGTGCTTTGATTTTTCCAGGCTAGTAGACGAGTGTGTCCATGTTTGTGAAGACACCAGGTTCATGGTTTCTCCCAGGTTAGTTTGCTAGAGGATTGTGTTTTATTAAAAACCCTGGATTTCGTTATTTACTCTCATTTTTTCCTCAGGATTCTCAGAATTCTTCCTGACTTATTTTTTAAATAAAACCTGATTTTGCCTCTTCATTCCCTGGTCATTTGTTACTTCCCCTTCCTGTACCTCTCGACTGCCTTGGGATGTAACAACACCAACTGATCAAAAATCTATTCTTAAAGTGTAAAAGACAGACTTAAGATCTCATGTGACATGAGATTTCTCCAAAATCTCACCAGCACCGAGGTAGCTTCTGATGGTGGTGTACACATCTGGCTGTCCAAAGTCTGAACTGCTGTAGGTGAAGTTCGTTCCCATGAACGACACCCTGTGGAACAGGAAGCAATGGAAATGTGGTTCCATGGGGATCCTTTGTCAATGTTACGACAATATGAGACAGTGACTCACAGTTTCTGGAAGGAGAGACATGAGGCGTTCTGCACTTTGTTGAAGCTGATGAGATCCTTGGTGAGGAACTTCAGATAGTTCCTCAAACGTACGTTAAACCACAGATCAACCTCAGATCTTCTGTTGCTGCTCAGAGCCAAAGGCCAAACACAGGGAAGGATGATCCTCCTCACATCATCTGGGACGTCCTCCTGCAGGTGTTGTACAGAAATATCAAACAGTGAGGAGAACACAGCCTGATTCACCCATAGATGTTGCTATGCATTTAAATTTGAGATGGGGACATACGTTTTCTAGGAAGGAGTGTTGTTGTAGTTGCTGAAGATGATGCAGATGCCTGAACTGTTATTGATTGTGCCAGGCTGATTGAGGAGCTGACTCAGCTCTGAGGTGCTGATGGTATTTAGGAGCTGGAAACAGAAAAATAAAAACATGTTTCCATTCTCAGTTGCAGACGTAACACTTCATTTCCACCTTGCTACTAAACCTGACAACACAAATCAACTCATTCTTTTGTTGTGTACCTCTGACTCGCGCTTTGGTGGCAGAAGAGATATGAACGTCATCAGATCAGGAAATCCAAAGCTGAGGAAAATGTTGTGCAGGAAGAGGTAGAGGCTTCCACCACTGTAACACCTCAGCGGCGTTGGATCTGTGTCGCAAAGTATGTTACAATATTTTACACATAGATGCAATAAAAACAAACACATGTGGAGCAGACCGCACTCCTGTTTCTAGTTCTGGTAAGTCAGGTGCTGTGCAGCACTTTGATAGACAAACCTTGGAGGAAAATGAGGATGTTTCTGTAGACCTCAGATTTAGTGTTGTTGCTGAGTGTTGTCTGTATGGTGTCAAGCACATTTATCCTGAATAAACATGAGATGAATTCATCAGTTAGAAAATGCTCTAGCAGAACTCTACAGTTCAGTCACTGTTTTCTGTTTCCTGCAAACTTGTTTGGATCATTTGAGTCCTTACGTCTCCTGGCTGATGGCACAGCTCCTGTTTGCTGCCAGACTGACAAAGCGGGGCACCAGATCTGGAGAAAGGTCGATGAGTAACGGCTGCAGTCGCCTTAGCCACTGCAGGAAGTCTTCGTCACTGACAGCTGGAAGAGCCCCCCTGTCAAAAACCGACTGGAGGAAGGCAGATTTCACTTCCTGTGTGTAGTTCATTGACAGGCTCTGCAGGAAATACAATCAAACTAAGATCAGAATGTATTATTTTTAATAATAATAATATACAATCCATTTTACAGACTGATTGTGTCTGTATTGAAGCATCCAAATTGTGCTGAATGCAAATTGTACATTTTCTAGTCTTGACTTTTTCAGTGTAATGTCAAGTGATAGTGTATCTGCTGCTGTATCTGGTGAAGTCACATCTTTCATGTTTTGGAGTAAAATGTAGAAGTTGGGTATTTACTTTAAATAATCTTTAGTTTTTGATAACAATGTGATGTGACTGAAACATCATGATTAGGAAATGATGCCAGAAATGTGAGTGATATTTGAAGTTTTGACTTTTAGATGAAAATTATGAATAAATCAAATGAATGTTCACTTTACTCTGTTTTTAAAATATTGACAGTTTAAGTTTGTTAAAAGTTCTGTAAATCTTCAACAATCTCTTAAAAGAACCCAGCAACCTTTAAGCAGCAAAACTTTTATGACTGAGCAGAAGGTGAAAGGTCAGCTTTGTTTACCGCAACTGCTTGAGCAAGTGAATCAAAGAAAGCAGCAAAGTCAGCCGGCTCGATGAACATCATGACTTTTGTCACATCTTGCGTTCCGTTCAGCTGGGAAGGGATTGCTGCAAGCTCCTTCAGCTGACCGAAAGTGAGAAGATCTGCCACCTCAACCTAAACACAAAAAGTCATGAATCATTTGAGAAAGAATTCAACTGTTAGGAGCCCAGCTGTTCACCGAAGTTCAGCAGCAGAATATTCAATTTAAACATTGTTTCATTTCGATAAGCAAGCCACTGCTACAGATTAACAAAACAATCATCAGCAGATGACAGCATGACACATAAAACCTCAAACTCTTCCTAGAAATCCCCATCCCTGGCCGGTTGATGACATCAGCAGTTTTCTCCTGTTGAGAATAAATAGTTCTGTTTTCCTCTGTCTCCTTTAGCTATTTCCATGTTCGTATCCACATACATGCATTCACAAAGAGCAGGCGTGCAAAGCTAAAGCTAAAGGAAACGAAACTCCCTCGTAGCTCAGAGGCTAACAAAGTGAATTACAAACTGTTGCTTGATGCCATTTTGCTCTGTTTGCCCATAAGGAGAGTGTGAATTATGCACCAATTGTATTTTGATATTAAGAAATGAAATTTATGAATTCAACTCACTGACTTTTCTTCAACCTCATAAATCAAGAACATGATGGAGAGAGGACAATTCTCCTCACTACACTTCCATTCATGCTGAAAAAGTTAAATGATAGCTCATAACCTCTTTTATTAAAAGATAATCAGTCATATCTCATTAAATTAACCACTTAAACATATAAGTATGTTTAAGTGATCTTTTCACTGCTGAATTACAAACATTCAAACACATGCATTTATAAATCGAAGCCCTAAACTTCAATTTGATCAACATACATTCGCAAATTGCATAAAATCAGTGCAAATATGCTAATTTTAGGATTAAAATCCTGTACTTACTCCTTTGAAATCTTTCTTCAAAGACAGAAAATTCTTAAAAGAGGCTTGAAGACGAAACTGACCAAAGTTGTCTTCAAGCCAACCTCTGTCATTAGTTTCAGCATCAACACAGGAAAGTCCTAAATATCAATCGATCAAATGGTTAGAACAACAATTAATGCATTTTATGTGGGTCAAAAAATCCACCATTACTCTGTTATTAAACACGGTTACCTGAAGTTAGCTGAGCTTTGAGATAATCTAATCCAAACATTAGAACCTCTTGGTTCTGCTCTGCGGAGAGCTGGCTGATAATGTTGTCCAATCCCTTGACCCTGAAAATAAAAGCATGTATATTTAATTACTCCAAAGGTAAAGAAAAAAACATGGGAGAAAGGTTGAACTTTCACTCACACTTGTTGGTATGAACTGCAGGAGATGTTTCTGGGAATTATTTCAAAGGTTGTTGATTTGATGCTTGGGAGGAAGAGTGGAAGGTACACCTGGAACCATAACCTGAAGCCTTCGGGATTTATTAGGTGGAACTTTGGTGCGAGTGCTGTTATTGTCAGATTTAGAATATTGACACGCATGCTGGGGTTAACAGAAGTCAGATTTTGCTAAAAAGAAAACGGAAAATTGAGTAAGAACATTAAATGTCAACTGAGAAACACAAAAATATATTTATGAAAAACACAGATCTAACCTGAGCTAGACCATCAACAAATGTACTGAAGAACAGCTCGAGATTTTCTAAGGAAGCTGATTCAGTGAAACGTTCAAAAACAGTGATGACAAGAGAGATATTGGCAAGAATGTCGGGTTGAAGGAGAAATTCAGCTTTTTGTCCAGAAGAAAGTGAATCTGCTATGGTAATCTATCAGAAAGAGAAAATAAAAATGTAATGAAAGACAATATTTGTAATTCTTTGTAAATTAAACACACACAAATTTATGAAATAAAAAAAATACTCATGAATTTACCTGAGAGAGGTTGAAGAATTTGAGCTCAAAATATGTGGCGTATTGAGAAAATGGGCCCAGGTTTGTTTCCACCCACTGGGAATCGGTCTGGATGTTTACCCTGCAAGCTAAGGCACATACATGTATGTACATATCAGCTTTCCTTTCCTCTGACTATTTCGTCCATTTCTGTTTTAATTCTTATGAGGGATTTGTACTTTCCCATCAACGTGGCCGTGGCCGAGACGCCACGGTGTTAATGTGGAAAACTTACCTGGCCGGTTGATGACATCAGCAGAGTTTTTCAGGTACTGCAGCAAAACAGCTGCAATTTCTTCTTGTCTTTCCTGAGCTACGGCAGACACAACTTTGCCCATCCCACTCACGCTGCAACGATTGGAATAAATCTTTTAGACACGGTCCCTTAAGAGTTCTCTGTGATTTGGAGCTTTCAAAACGTCGATGTCCTTGATACACAACTCACATGACATGGTATTTTGTGCAGTTGATGTTGGTGATTACATCTTGGAGCATTTGTGGAGTGAAACTTGGGAGAACCGGGACCAGTTTGACATGGAACCAGTCAAAAAGATCCTTTTCAGGGAACTCTGGGAAAGAGGGACCGACGATGATGTAGGTCCTGTTCATGATGCGATCTCTGACGTCAACTTGAAACTCTGGGACCTAAATATTTATGACAGGAGACAAATCCAACACCACTCAGTTGCTACGATGCGAGCCCACCGTGTCGTACTCATGAAAAGTGGCAAAAACAGTAGGGTCCTATGAATTACTGCAATATTACGATTTGAATAGCTTTCCAATACCATTGACATAGCTTTTCAAACCGGGACTCTTGTGCCACTTGAAGGTGTAGCTTACCTCCTTCTCTGTAAGTTTGGTAAAGAATGCGTCCACGTTTTCAACAGCGTTTCCAACCTGCAGTCGCTCAAAGACTCGATCGACAAGTCGTGTGTCATTCGAGATGTCTGTGCTCAGCAGAAACTCTGCTACCTGAGAGGGAGACAGTTTCGACAGGACTTCGGCCTGCAACGATAGAAAAGAATTCAGCTTGAAGTCATTGTGGAACTTTGGAGTAGAAAATTCGGCAGATCCCCCCTTAAATCTTGTCAACCGCTTTAGTCACTCACACTGGAGAAGTTGGGATAAAGGGCTTGCAGATCCTCTACGCTGGCAAATTGAGAGAAATTGCCAAAGTTGGCCTGTAGCCAGAGCTGACTACTATTGGCGGATGACACACAGCCTGGGTCTGCAAAACAACAGGAGTCAGAACACCGCCTGGTGTACAGTCACTACTTTACCAAGGAGGCCCGGTGAGCCTGTGTGCACTTACCTGGCAAATCCTTTCTGGAAAGGAATGGTTGGATGAAGTGAGTAAAGACTGCTCGCTTTCTGTCGTTGTCCATCAGTGGGCTTTGGTTGCTGAATGCTCCGATGCTAAAATTTTGAGCGAGGGATTTTAACGTCAAAGGAGTCTGCCAGTTTCTTTGAGATACTGCGAACGCTCATGCAATAAGTCCTCCAGGTACTTACACAATCTGGTAGGTCTGGCAGCTGAAGTTGTAGGTGCCAAGGCAGAAGAGGAAATTTGTTGACGGGGAGGCCAGGAATGGACCGAGATCCATCTGGAACCAGCTTCTAACAAAATCTTCACTCTTCAGTTGAGCCTGTGTGAGGTTTTTAGCAACCACTTCTCTCAAAGCATCAAGAGGATTGGAATAGGCTGCGCTCATGGCGGTGGGGGCCTAGAGTTTGGGGAAAGATAGGTAACATGTAGAAACGACACCAAAAAGCGCTCAGTATTTTTGAAACGACGGCGCTGGATATACCGTGGCGGAGAATGAGGCCAGAGCCTGTCTGAGTACGGGAGAAGCTTTTTGGAAAAGAAGCTGCCAAACTTCCACCACGTACATCCGGTTGCTTTCCAGAGAGCACTTCAAGAGCGTGGCCAAGTTTTCTGCTGAGAGTCGTCTTGTCTGAAGAAGAAATAAATCAAACTCTGAGCACGTGAGGTTGTTTTGGGTTTACAGCTTGCAATCAAACATCTTACCGGGGCACAGGCGTGTTCAGTGATGGTGAAGTTGCACACGGCTTCAGTAGAATTGTCATCTTCCAGTGCGTGGAGTTGAGAGCTGTGCAACGTAACCATAAAACAATGCAGCTTTGGTTACATTGGCCAAACCCACTTGCTAGCACTGCATCACATAAGACAGTCATCGGCTTACCTGTCTACCTCGGAGCAGATGAGTTTTTCTGTAAAAACACAAAATTGTGCATGAGCTACTGCTATTTGACACGTGATATGTTGTTTCATCAATTCATAGATGGGTTATTCTCAGCAAACTTACCATCAACGTGTGTGTCTTTGCACTGGGGACAAACAAAGCAGCAACTGTTAGGTCAGTGGCAAAAGCTACATAGACTTATACAACGGCAATGTGCCACCCTCTAGTCCTGTAAATGAACATGACGTGGGGTCTCTTTGCCGTGAGAAACACCTTTGAGCCTTAGCTTACCGTGAAAGAATCCAGTGTTGCACAATCTGTTTGAAAGAAAGTTGAAATTAGACGTGGCTTGAACATGTCTCTTAAAGTGAGAGTTGCACCGGGCTTTTCTGAAGGAATTTCTCCGCGAAGCATTGGCCACACGTACCTGGGAAGGCCTCCTGCAGTGATTCCAGGCTTGACCTCACGTCCATTGAAATTTGCGGTGGCAGGATCTTCAGGCTTTCCATTAGGCCAGTGACTCTGAAAAGAAGGAAGGAAAACCGTCATTCAGGGGACTGGTATGGAACCGTAGTTCGATGTGGATCAAATGCCAAGGATCATATTCCTATCTTAGGGGTTTGGTCTCACATCGCTCCGTAGGCTTCACAGCTGATGTTACCGGGTATCACCCGCAGGCTGTCTGGTTGGATGCTTGCTATCACAGGAATCAAATAAACTTGAAACCACAGCTGGTAGTCTTGTACCTCAAAGTCGTCAAATTTAAGAGCCAGGCTGCTCAGAGTCAGGTTTAAGATGGTCTCTCGTACCGCCACATTTTGGATGTAGGTTGTGTTTGTCTGTTAGGGAAAGCAGGAAAATTGTAACTCGGGAGGACCTTTCATTCCAAGAGCATCCCGCAAAGAGCTGGACAAGGTCCGTGGCAAAGCTTCGGACTCTGCGTTCATCGAAACCAACACAAAAGATTTCTTGGCCAACATTTGATCTGCCAATCATTTGAAATGCCTTCATTTACCTAGAAGGAAAACTTTGGAGCAAAATAACAAAGTTAAAGTTTGGCATTTACCTGCTGGAGTGACTGTGTGAACACCAGGAAAAAACTGACCAAGCTGCTCCACATTGCCGGGCTCTGTCAAGTTTGTGAGCACCTCCTTTACGAGGGTGGCATCCTCCAGAGCATTGCTGCCTGGATCTGTCAGAAGCTCAGCTTTCTGTTTGGGTGAAAGAACGCTCACAAGTGCTCCCTGATGAAACAAACCGAGAGAACAGGTGAATTTCATTTCTCTTTCATGTGACGCCGCGTGTGCGCCCGCCACAAAGAGGAGACTGTGCCCGCGTTCTCGCAGAGCATCTACAGTAGGATGTGTGGCTTACCTGAGAGAGGTTGAAGAATTTGAGCTCAAAATATGTGGCGTATTGAGAAAATGGGCCCAGGTTTGTTTCCACCCACTGGGAATCGGTCTGGATGTTTACCCTGCAAGCTAAGGCACATACATGTATGTACATATCAGCTTTCCTTTCCTCTGACTATTTCGTCCATTTCTGTTTTAATTCTTATGAGGGATTTGTACTTTCCCATCAACGTGGCCGTGGCCGAGACGCCACGGTGTTAATGTGGAAAACTTACCTGGCCGGTTGATGACATCAGCAGAGTTTTTCAGGTACTGCAGCAAAACAGCTGCAATTTCTTCTTGTCTTTCCTGAGCTACGGCAGACACAACTTTGCCCATCCCACTCACGCTGCAAAGATTGGAATAAATCTTTTAGACACGGTCCCTTAAGAGTTCTCTGTGATTTGGAGCTTTCAAAACGTCGATGTCCTTGATACACAACTCACATGACATGGTATTTTGTGCAGTTGATGTTGGTGATTACATCTTGGAGCATTTGTGGAGTGAAACTTGGGAGAACCGGGACCAGTTTGACATGGAACCAGTCAAAAAGATCCTTTTCAGGGAACTCTGGGAAAGAGGGACCGACGATGATGTAGGTCCTGTTCATGATGCGATCTCTGACGTCAACTTGAAACTCTGGGACCTAAATATTTATGACAGGAGACAAATCCAACACCACTCAGTTGCTACGATGCGAGCCCACCGTGTCGTACTCATGAAAAGTGGCAAAAACAGTAGGGTCCTATGAATTACTGCAATATTACGATTTGAATAGCTTTCCAATACCATTGACATAGCTTTTCAAACCGGGACTCTTGTGCCACTTGAAGGTGTAGCTTACCTCCTTCTCTGTAAGTTTGGTAAAGAATGCGTCCACGTTTTCAACAGCGTTTCCAACCTGCAGTCGCTCAAAGACTCGATCGACAAGTCGTGTGTCATTCGAGATGTCTGTGCTCAGCAGAAACTCTGCTACCTGAGAGAGGAGACAGTTTCGACAGGACTTCGGCCTGCAACGATAGAAAACGAGAATTCAGCTTGAAGTCATTGTGGAACTTTGGAGTAGAAAATTCGGCAGATCCCCCTTAAATCTTGTCAACCGCTTTAGTCACTCACACTGGAGAAGTTGGGATAAAGGGCTTGCAGATCCTCTACGCTGGCAAATTGAGAGAAATTGCCAAAGTTGGCCTGTAGCCAGAGCTGACTACTATTGGCGGATGACACACAGCCTGGGTCTGCAAAACAACAGGAGTCAGAACACCGCCTGGTGTACAGTCACTACTTTACCAAGGAGGCCCGGTGAGCCTGCGTGCACTTACCTGGCAAATCCTTTCTGGAAAGGAATGGTTGGATGAAGTGAGTAAAGACTGCTCGCTTTCTGTCGTTGTCCATCAGTGGGCTTTGGTTGCTGAATGCTCCGATGCTAAAATTTTGAGCGAGGGATTTTAACGTCAAAGGAGTCTGCCAGTTTCTTTGAGATACTGCGAACGCTCATGCAATAAGTCCTCCAGGTACTTACACAATCTGGTAGGTCTGGCAGCTGAAGTTGTAGGTGCCAAGGCAGAAGAGGAAATTTGTTGACGGGGAGGCCAGGAATGGACCGAGATCCATCTGGAACCAGCTTCTAACAAAATCTTCACTCTTCAGTTGAGCCTGTGTGAGGTTTTTAGCAACCACTTCTCTCAGAGCATCAAGAGGATTGGAATAGGCTGCGCTCATGGCGGTGGGGCCTAGAGTTTGGGGAAAGATAGGTAGCATGTAGAAACGACACCAAAAAGCGCTCAGTATTTTTGAAACGACGGCGCTGGATATACCGTGGCGGAGAATGAGGCCAGAGCCTGTCTGAGTACGGGAGAAGCTTTTTGGAAAAGAAGCTGCCAAACTTCCACCACGTACATCTTGTTGCTTTCCAGAGAGCACTTCAAGAGCGTGGCCAAGTTTTCTGCTGAGAGTCGTCTTGTCTGAAGAAGAAATAAATCAAACTCTGAGCACGTGAGGTTGTTTTGGGTTTACAGCTTGCAATCAAACATTACCGGGGCACAGACGTGTTCAGTGATGGTGAAGTTGCACACGGCTTCAGTAGAATTGTCATCTTCCAGTGCGTGGAGTTGAGAGCTGTGCAACGTAACCATAAAACAATGCAGCTTGGTTACATTGGCCAAACCCACTTGCTAGCACTGCATCACATAAGACAGTCATCGGCTTACCTGTCTACCTCGGAGCAGATGAGTTTTTCTGTAAAAACACCAAATTGTGCATGAGCTACTGCTATTTGACACGTGATATGTTTCATCAATTCATAGATGGGTTATTCTCAGCAAACTTACCATCAACGTGTGTGTCTTTGCACTGGGGACAAACAAAGCAGCAACTGTTAGGTCAGTGGCAAAAGCTACATAGACTTATACAACGGCAATGTGCCACCCTTAGTCCTGTAAATGAACATGACGTGGGGTCTCTTTGCCGTGAGAAACACCTTTGAGCCTTAGCTTACCGTGAAAGAATCCAGTGTTGCACAATCTGTTTGAAAGAAAGTTGAAATTAGACGTGGCTTGAAACATGTCTCTTAAAGTGAGAGTTGCACCGGGCTTCTGAAGGAATTTCTCCGCGAAGCATTGGCCACACGTACCTGGGAAGGCCTCCTGCAGTGATTCCAGGCTTGACCTCACGTCCATTGAAATTTGCGGTGGCAGGATCTTCAGGCTTTCCATTAGGCCAGTGACTCTGAAAAGAAGGAAGGAAAACCGTCATTCAGGGGACTGGTATGGAACCGTAGTTCGATGTGGATCAAATGCCAAGGATCATATTCCTATCTTAGGGGTTTGGTCTCACATCGCTCCGTAGGCTTCACAGCTGATGTTACCGGGTATCACCCGCAGGCTGTCTGGTTGGATGCTTGCTATCACAGGAATCAAATAAACTTGAAACCACAGCTGGTAGTCTTGTACCTCAAAGTCGTCAAATTTAAGAGCCAGGCTGCTCAGAGTCAGGTTTAAGATGGTCTCTCGTACCGCCACATTTTGGATGTAGGTTTGTTTGTCTGTTAGGGAAAGCAGGAAAATTGTAACTCGGGAGGACCTTTCATTCCAAGAGCATCCCGCAAAGAGCTGGACAAGGTCCGTGGCAAAGCTTCGGACTCTGCGTTCATCGAAACCAACACAAAAGATTTCTTGGCCAACATTTGATCTGCCAATCATTTGAAATGCCTTCATTTACCTAGAAGGAAAACTTTGGAGCAAAATAACAAAGTTAAAGTTTGGCATTTACCTGCTGGAGTGACTGTGTGAACACCAGGAAAAACTGACCAAGCTGCTCCACATTGCCGGGCTCTGTCAAGTTTGTGAGCACCTCCTTTACGAGGGTGGCATCCTCCAGAGCATTGCTGCCTGGATCTGTCAGAAGCTCAGCTTTCTGTTTGGGTGAAAGAACGCACAAGTGCTCCCTGATGAAACAAACCGAGAGAACAGGTGAATTTCATTTCTCTTTCATGTGACGCCGCGTGTGCGCCCGCCACAAAGAGGAGACTGTGCCCGCGTTCTCGCAGAGCATCTACAGTAGGATGTGTGGCTTACCTGAGAGAGGTTGAAGAATTTGAGCTCAAAATATGTGGCGTATTGAGAAAATGGGCCCAGGTTTGTTTCCACCCACTGGGAATCGGTCTGGATGTTTACCCTGCAAGCTAAGGCACATACATGTATGTACATATCAGCTTTCCTTTCCTCTGACTATTTCGTCCATTTCTGTTTTAATTCTTATGAGGGATTTGTACTTTCCCATCAACGTGGCCGTGGCCGAGACGCCACGGTGTCAATGTGGAAAACTTACCTGGCCGGTTGATGACATCAGCAGAGTTTTTCAGGTACTGCAGCAAAACAGCTGCAATTTCTTCTTGTCTTTCCTGAGCTACGGCAGACACAACTTTGCCCATCCCACTCACGCTGCAAAGATTGGAATAAATCTTTTAGACACGGTCCCTTAAGAGTTCTCTGTGATTTGGAGCTTTCAAACGTCGATGTCCTTGATACACAACTCACATGACATGGTATTTTGTGCAGTTGATGTTGGTGATTACATTGGAGCATTTGTGGAGTGAAACTTGGGAGAACCGGGACCAGTTTGACATGGAACCAGTCAAAAAGATCCTTTTCAGGGAACTCTGGGAAAGAGGGACCGACGATGATGTAGGTCCTGTTCATGATGCGATCTCTGACGTCAACTTGAAACTCTGGGACCTAAATATTTATGACAGGAGACAAATCCAACACCACTCAGTTGCTACGATGCGAGCCCACCGTGTCGTACTCATGAAAAGTGGCAAAAACAGTAGGGGTCCTATGAATTACTGCAATATTACGATTTGAATAGCTTTCCAATACCATTGACATAGCTTTTCAAACCGGGACTCTTGTGCCACTTGAAGGTGTAGCTTACCTCCTTCTCTGTAAGTTTGGTAAAGAATGCGTCCACGTTTTCAACAGCGTTTCCAACCTGCAGTCGCTCAAAGACTCGATCGACAAGTCGTGTGTCATTCGAGATGTCTGTGCTCAGCAGAAACTCTGCTACCTGAGAGGGAGACAGTTTCGACAGGGACTTCGGCCTGCAACGATAGAAAACGAGAATTCAGCTTGAAGTCATTGTGGAACTTTGGAGTAGAAAATTCGGCAGATCCCCTTAAATCTTGTCAACCGCTTTAGTCACTCACACTGGAGAAGTTGGGATAAAGGGCTTGCAGATCCTCTACACTGGCAAATTGAGAGAAATTGCCAAAGTTGGCCTGTAGCCAGAGCTGACTACTATTGGCGGATGACACACAGCCTGGGTCTGCAAAACAACAGGAGTCAGAACACCGCCTGGTGTACAGTCACTACTTTACCAAGGAGGCCCGGTGAGCCTGCGTGCACTTACCTGGCAAATCCTTTCTGGAAAGGAATGGTTGGATGAAGTGAGTAAAGACTGCTCGCTTTCTGTCGTTGTCCATCAGTGGGCTTTGGTTGCTGAATGCTCCGATGCTAAAATTTTGAGCGAGGGATTTTAACGTCAAAGGAGTCTGCCAGTTTCTTTGAGATACTGCGAACGCTCATGCAATAAGTCCTCCAGGTACTTACACAATCTGGTAGGTCTGGCAGCTGAAGTTGTAGGTGCCAAGGGAAGAGGAAATTTGTTGACGGGGAGGCCAGGAATGGACCGAGATCCATCTGGAACCAGCTTCTAACAAAATCTTCACTCTTCAGTTGAGCCTGTGTGAGGTTTTTAGCAACCACTTCTCTCAGAGCATCAAGAGGATTGGAATAGGCTGCGCTCATGGCGGTGGGGGCCTAGAGTTTGGGGAAAGATAGGTAGCATGTAGAAACGACACCAAAAAGCGCTCAGTATTTTTGAAACGACGGCGCTGGATATACCGTGGCGGAGAATGAGGCCAGAGCCTGTCTGAGTACGGGAGAAGCTTTTTGGAAAAGAAGCTGCCAAACTTCCACCACGTACATCCGGTTGCTTTCCAGAGAGCACTTCAAGAGCGTGGCCAAGTTTTCTGCTGAGAGTCGTCTTGTCTGAAGAAGAAATAAATCAAACTCTGAGCACGTGAGGTTGTTTTGGGTTTACAGCTTGCAATCAAACATCTTACCGGGGCACAGGCGTGTTCAGTGATGGTGAAGTTGCACACGGCTTCAGTAGAATTGTCATCTTCCAGTGCTTGGAGTTGAGAGCTGTGCAACGTAACCATAAAACAATGCAGCTTTGGTTACATTGGCCAAACCCACTTGCTAGCACTGCATCACATAAGACAGTCATCGGCTTACCTGTCTACCTCGGAGCAGATGAGTTTTTCTGTAAAAACACCAAAATTGTGCATGAGCTACTGCTATTTGACACGTGATATGTTGTTTCATCAATTCATAGATGGGTTATTCTCAGCAAACTTACCATCAACGTGTGTGTCTTTGCACTGGGGACAAACAAAGCAGCAACTGTTAGGTCAGTGGCAAAAGCTACATAGACTTATACAACGGCAATGTGCCACCCTCTAGTCCTGTAAATGAACATGACGTGGGGTCTCTTTGCCGTGAGAAACACCTTTGAGCCTTAGCTTACCGTGAAAGAATCCAGTGTTGCACAATCTGTTTGAAAGGAAGTTGAAATTAGACGTGGCTTGAAACATGTCTCTTAAAGTGAGAGTTGCACCGGGCTTTTCTGAAGGAATTTCTCCGCGAAGCATTGGCCACACGTACCTGGGAAGGCCTCCTGCAGTGATTCCAGGCTTGACCTCACGTCCATTGAAATTTGCGGTGGCAGGATCTTCAGGCTTTCCATTAGGCCAGTGACTCTGAAAAGAAGGAAGGAAAACCGTCATTCAGGGGACTGGTATGGAACCGTAGTTCGATGTGGATCAAATGCCAAGGATCATATTCCTATCTTAGGGGTTTGGTCTCACATCGCTCCGTAGGCTTCACAGCTGATGTTACCGGGTATCACCCGCAGGCTGTCTGGTTGGATGCTTGCTATCACAGGAATCAAATAAACTTGAAACCACAGCTGGTAGTCTTGTACCTCAAAGTCGTCAAATTTAAGAGCCAGGCTGCTCAGAGTCAGGTTTAAGATGGTCTCTCGTACCGCCACATTTTGGATGTAGGTTGTGTTTGTCTGTTAGGGAAAGCAGGAAAATTGTAACTCGGGAGGACCTTTCATTCCAAGAGCATCCCGCAAAGAGCTGGACAAGGTCCGTGGCAAGCTTCGGACTCTGCGTTCATCGAAACCAACACAAAAGATTTCTTGGCCAACATTTGATCTGCCAATCATTTGAAATGCCTTCATTTACCTAGAAGGAAAACTTTGGAGCAAAATAACAAAGTTAAAGTTTGGCATTTACCTGCTGGAGTGACTGTGTGAACACCAGGAAAAAACTGACCAAGCTGCTCCACATTGCCGGGCTCTGTCAAGTTTGAGCACCTCCTTTACGAGGGTGGCATCCTCCAGAGCATTGCTGCCTGGATCTGTCAGAAGCTCAGCTTTCTGTTTGGGTGAAAGAACGCTCACAAGTGCTCCCTGATGAAACAAACCGAGAGAACAGGTGAATTTCATTTCTCTTTCATGTGACGCCGCGTGTGCGCCCGCCACAAAGAGGAGACTGTGCCCGCGTTCTCGCAGAGCATCTACAGTAGGATGTGTGGCTTACCTGAGAGAGGTTGAAGAATTTGAGCTCAAAATATGTGGCGTATTGAGAAAATGGGCCCAGGTTTGTTTCCACCCACTGGGAATCGGTCTGGATGTTTACCCTGCAAGCTAAGGCACATACATGTACATATCAGCTTTCCTTTCCTCTGACTATTTCGTCCATTTCTGTTAATTCTTATGAGGGATTTGTACTTTCCCATCAACGTGGCCGTGGCCGAGACGCCACGGTGTTAATGTGGAAAACTTACCTGGCCGGTTGATGACATCAGCAGAGTTTTTCAGGTACTGCAGCAAAACAGCTGCAATTTCTTCTTGTCTTTCCTGAGCTACGGCAGACACAACTTTGCCCATCCCACTCACGCTGCAAAGATTGGAATAAATCTTTTAGACACGGTCCCTTAAGAGTTCTCTGTGATTTGGAGCTTTCAAAACGTCGATGTCCTTGATACACAACTCACATGACATGGTATTTTGTGCAGTTGATGTTGGTGATTACATCTTGGAGCATTTGTGGAGTGAAACTTGGGAGAACCGGGACCAGTTTGACATGGAACCAGTCAAAAAGATCCTTTTCAGGGAACTCTGGGAAAGAGGGACCGACGATGATGTAGGTCCTGTTCATGATGCGATCTCTGACGTCAACTTGAAACTCTGGGACCTAAATATTTATGACAGGAGACAAACAACACCACTCAGTTGCTACGATGCGAGCCCACCGTGTCGTACTCATGAAAAGTGGCAAAAACAGTAGGGTCCTATGAATTACTGCAATATTACGATTTGAATAGCTTTCCAATACCATTGACATAGCTTTTCAAACCGGGACTCTTGTGCCACTTGAAGGTGTAGCTTACCTCCTTCTCTGTAAGTTTGGTAAAGAATGCGTCCACGTTTTCAACAGCGTTTCCAACCTGCAGTCGCTCAAAGACTCGATCGACAAGTCGTGTGTCATTCGAGATGTCTGTGCTCAGCAGAAACTCTGCTACCTGAGAGGGAGACAGTTTCGACAGGACTTCGGCCTGCAACGATAGAAAACGAGAATTCAGCTTGAAGTCATTGTGGAACTTTGGAGTAGAAAATTCGGCAGATCCCCCCTTAAATCTTGTCAACCGCTTTAGTCACTCACACTGGAGAAGTTGGGATAAAGGGCTTGCAGATCCTCTACGCTGGCAAATTGAGAGAAATTGCCAAAGTTGGCCTGTAGCCAGAGCTGACTACTATTGGCGGATGACACACAGCCTGGGTCTGCAAAACAACAGGAGTCAGAACACCGCCTGGTGTACAGTCACTACTTTACCAAGGAGGCCCGGTGAGCCTGCGTGCACTTACCTGGCAAATCCTTTCTGGAAAGGAATGGTTGGATGAAGTGAGTAAAGACTGCTCGCTTTCTGTCGTTGTCCATCAGTGGGCTTTGGTTGCTGAATGCTCCGATGCTAAAATTTTGAGCGAGGGATTTTAACGTCAAAGGAGTCTGCCAGTTTCTTTGAGATACTGAGAACGCTCATGCAATAAGTCCTCCAGGTACTTACACAATCTGGTAGGTCTGGCAGCTGAAGTTGTAGGTGCCAAGGCAGAAGAGGAAATTTGTTGACGGGGAGGCCAGGAATGGACCGAGATCCATCTGGAACCAGCTTCTAACAAAATCTTCACTCTTCAGTTGAGCCTGTGTGAGGTTTTTAGCAACCACTTCTCTCAGAGCATCAAGAGGATTGGAATAGGCTGCGCTCATGGCGGTGGGGGCCTAGAGTTTGGGGAAAGATAGGTAGCATGTAGAAACGACACCAAAAAGCGCTCAGTATTTTTGAAACGACGGCGCTGGATATACCGTGGCGGAGAATGAGGCCAGAGCCTGTCTGAGTACGGGAGAAGCTTTTTGGAAAAGAAGCTGCCAAACTTCCACCACGTACATCCGGTTGCTTTCCAGAGAGCACTTCAGAGCGTGGCCAAGTTTTCTGCTGAGAGTCGTCTTGTCTGAAGAAGAAATAAATCAAACTCTGAGCACGTGAGGTTGTTTTGGGTTTACAGCTTGCAATCAAACATCTTACCGGGGCACAGGCGTGTTCAGTGATGGTGAAGTTGCACACGGCTTCAGTAGAATTGTCATCTTCCAGTGCGTGGAGTTGAGAGCTGTGCAACGTAACCATAAAACAATGCAGCTTTGGTTACATTGGCCAAACCCACTTGCTAGCACTGCATCACATAAGACAGTCATCGGCTTACCTGTCTACCTCGGAGCAGATGAGTTTTTCTGTAAAAACACCAAAATTGTGCATGAGCTACTGCTATTTGACACGTGATATGTTGTTTCATCAATTCATAGATGGGTTATTGTCAGCAAACTTACCATCAACGTGTGTGTCTTTGCACTGGGGACAAACAAAGCAGCAACTGTTAGGTCAGTGGCAAAAGCTACATAGACTTATACAACGGCAATGTGCCACCTCTAGTCCTGTAAATGAACATGACGTGGGGTCTCTTTGCCGTGAGAAACACCTTTGAGCCTTAGCTTACCGTGAAAGAATCCAGTGTTGCACAATCTGTTTGAAAGAAAGTTGAAATTAGACGTGGCTTGAACATGTCTCTTAAAGTGAGAGTTGCACCGGGCTTTTCTGAAGGAATTTCTCCGCGAAGCATTGGCCACACGTACCTGGGAAGGCCTCCTGCAGTGATTCCAGGCTTGACCTCACGTCCATTGAAATTTGCGGTGGCAGGATCTTCAGGCTTTCCATTAGGCCAGTGACTCTGAAAAGAAGGAAGGAAAACCGTCATTCAGGGGACTGGTATGGAACCGTAGTTCGATGTGGATCAAATGCCAAGGATCATATTCCTATCTTAGGGGTTTGGTCTCACATCGCTCCGTAGGCTTCACAGCTGATGTTACCGGGTATCACCCGCAGGCTGTCTGGTTGGATGCTTGCTACAGGAATCAAATAAACTTGAAACCACAGCTGGTAGTCTTGTACCTCAAAGTCGTCAAATTTAAGAGCCAGGCTGCTCAGAGTCAGGTTTAAGATGGTCTCTCGTACCGCCACATTTTGGATGTAGGTTGTGTTTGTCTGTTAGGGAAAGCAGGAAAATTGTAACTCGGGAGGACCTTTCATTCCAAGAGCATCCCGCAAAGAGCTGGACAAGGTCCGTGGCAAAGCTTCGGACTCTGCGTTCATCGAAACCAACACAAAAGATTTCTTGGCCAACATTTGATCTGCCAACCATTTGAAATACCTTCATTTACCTAGAAGGAAAACTTTGGAGCAAAATAACAAAGTTAAAGTTTGGCATTTACCTGCTGGAGTGACTGTGTGAACACCAGGAAAAACTGACCAAGCTGCTCCACATTGCCGGGCTCTGTCAAGTTTGTGAGCACCTCCTTTACGAGGTGGCATCCTCCAGAGCATTGCTGCCTGGATCTGTCAGAAGCTCAGCTTTCTGTTTGGGTGAAAGAACGCTCACAAGTGCCCTGATGAAACAAACCGAGAGAACAGGTGAATTTCATTTCTCTTTCATGTGACGCCGCGTGTGCGCCCGCCACAAAGAGGAGACTGTGCCCGCGTTCTCGCAGATCATCTACAGTAGGATGTGTGGCTTACCTGAGAGAGGTTGAAGAATTTGAGCTCAAAATATGTGGCGTATTGAGAAAATGGGCCCAGGTTTGTTTCCACCACTGGGAATCGGTCTGGATGTTTACCCTGCAAGCTAAGGCACATACATGTACGTACATATCAGCTTTCCTTTCCTCTGACTATTTCGTCCATTTCTGTTTTAATTCTTATGAGGGATTTGTACTTTCCCATCAACGTGGCCGTGGCCGAGACGCCACGGTGTTAATGTGGAAAACTTACCTGGCCGGTTGATGACATCAGCAGAGTTTTTCAGGTACTGCAGCAAAACAGCTGCAATTTCTTCTTGTCTTTCCTGAGCTACGGCAGACACAACTTTGCCCATCCCACTCACGCTGCAAAGATTGGAATAAATCTTTTAGACACGGTCCCTTAAGAGTTCTCTGTGATTTGGAGCTTTCAAAACGTCGATGTCCTTGATACACAACTCACATGACATGGTATTTTGTGCAGTTGATGTTGGTGATTACATCTTGGAGCATTTGTGGAGTGAAACTTGGGAGAACCGGGACCAGTTTGACATGGAACCAGTCAAAAAGATCCTTTTCAGGGAACTCTGGGAAAGAGGGACCGACGATGATGTAGGTCCTGTTCATGATGCGATCTCTGACGTCAACTTGAAACTCTGGGACCTAAATATTTATGACAGGAGACAAATCCAACACCACTCAGTTGCTACGATGCGAGCCCACCGTGTCGTACTCATGAAAAGTGGCAAAAACAGTAGGGTCCTATGAATTACTGCAATATTACGATTTGAATAGCTTTCCAATACCATTGACATAGCTTTTCAAACCGGGACTCTTGTGCCACTTGAAGGTGTAGCTTACCTCCTTCTCTGTAAGTTTGGTAAAGAATGCGTCCACGTTTTCAACAGCGTTTCCAACCTGCAGTCGCTCAAAGACTCGATCGACAAGTCGTGTGTCATTCGAGATGTCTGTGCTCAGCAGAAACTCTGCTACCTGAGAGGGAGACAGTTTTGACAGGACTTCGGCCTGCAACGATAGAAAACGAGAATTCAGCTTGAAGTCATTGTGGAACTTTGGAGTAGAAAATTCGGCAGATCCCCCCTTAAATCTTGTCAACCGCTTTAGTCACTCACACTGGAGAAGTTGGGATAAAGGGCTTGCAGATCCTCTACGCTGGCAAATTGAGAGAAATTGCCAAAGTTGGCCTGTAGCCAGAGCTGACTACTATTGGCGGATGACACACAGCCTGGGTCTGCAAAACAACAGGAGTCAGAACACCGCCTGGTGTACAGTCACTACTTTACCAAGGAGGCCCGGTGAGCCTGCGTGCACTTACCTGGCAAATCCTTTCTGGAAAGGAATGGTTGGATGAAGTGAGTAAAGACTGCTCGCTTTCTGTCGTTGTCCATCAGTGGGCTTTGGTTGCTGAATGCTCCGATGCTAAAATTTTGAGCGAGGGATTTTAACGTCAAAGGAGTCTGCCAGTTTCTTTGAGATACTGCGAACGCTCATGCAATAAGTCCTCCAGGTACTTACACAATCTGGTAGGTCTGGCAGCTGAAGTTGTAGGTGCCAAGGCAGAAGAGGAAATTTGTTGACGGGGAGGCCAGGAATGGACCGAGATCCATCTGGAACCAGCTTCTAACAAAATCTTCACTCTTCAGTTGAGCCTGTGTGAGGTTTTTAGCAACCACTTCTCTCAGAGCATCAAGAGGATTGGAATAGGCTGCTCATGGCGGTGGGGGCCTAGAGTTTGGGAAAGATAGGTAGCATGTAGAAACGACACCAAAAAGCGCTCAGTATTTTTGAAACGACGGCGCTGGATATACCGTGGCGGAGAATGAGGCCAGAGCCTGTCTGAGTACGGAGAAGCTTTTTGGAAAAGAAGCTGCCAAACTTCCACCACGTACATCCGGTTGCTTTCCAGAGAGCACTTCAAGAGCGTGGCCAAGTTTTCTGCTGAGAGTCGTCTTGTCTGAAGAAGAAATAAATCAAACTCTGAGCACGTGAGGTTGTTTTGGGTTTACAGCTTGCAATCAAACATCTTACCGGGGCACAGGCGTGTTCAGTGATGGTGAAGTTGCACACGGCTTCAGTAGAATTGTCATCTTCCAGTGCGTGGAGTTGAGAGCTGTGCAACGTAACCATAAAACAATGCAGCTTTGGTTACATTGGCCAAACCCACTTGCTAGCACTGCATCACATAAGACAGTCATCGGCTTACCTGTCTACCTCGGAGCAGATGAGTTTTTCTGTAAAAACACCAAAATTGTGCATGAGCTACTGCTATTTGACACGTGATATGTTGTTTCATCAATTCATAGATGGGTTATTCTCAGCAAACTTACCATCAACGTGTGTCTTTGCACTGGGGACAAACAAAGCAGCAACTGTTAGGTCAGTGGCAAAAGCTACATAGACTTATACAACGGCAATGTGCCCCTCTAGTCCTGTAAATGAACATGACGTGGGGTCTCTTTGCCGTGAGAAACACCTTTGAGCCTTAGCTTACCGTGAAAGAATCCAGTGTTGCACAATCTGTTTGAAAGAAAGTTGAAATTAGACGTGGCTTGAACATGTCTCTTAAAGTGAGAGTTGCACCGGGCTTTTCTGAAGGAATTTCTCCGCGAAGCATTGGCCACAGTACCTGGGAAGGCCTCCTGCAGTGATTCCAGGCTTGACCTCACGTCCATTGAAATTTGCGGTGGCAGGATCTTCAGGCTTTCCATTAGGCCAGTGACTCTGAAAAGAAGGAAGGAAAACCGTCATTCAGGGGACTGGTATGGAACCGTAGTTCGATGTGGATCAAATGCCAAGGATCATATTCCTATCTTAGGGGTTGGTCTCACATCGCTCCGTAGGCTTCACAGCTGATGTTACCGGGTATCACCCGCAGGCTGTCTGGTTGGATGCTTGCTATCACAGGAATCAATAAACTTGAAACCACAGCTGGTAGTCTTGTACCTCAAAGTCGTCAAATTTAAGAGCCAGGCTGCTCAGAGTCAGGTTTAAGATGGTCTCTCGTACCGCCACATTTTGGATGTAGGTTGTGTTTGTCTGTTAGGGAAAGCAGGAAAATTGTAACTCGGGAGGACCTTTCATTCCAAGAGCATCCCGCAAAGAGCTGGACAAGGTCCGTGGCAAAGCTTCGGACTCTGCGTTCATCGAAACCAACACAAAAGATTTCTTGGCCAACATTGATCTGCCAATCATTTGAAATACCTTCATTTACCTAGAAGGAAAACTTTGGAGCAAAATAACAAAGTTAAAGTTTGGCATTTACCTGCTGGAGTGACTGTGTGAACACCAGGAAAAACTGACCAAGCTGCTCCACATTGCCGGGCTCTGTCAAGTTTGTGAGCACCTCCTTTACGAGGGTGGCATCCTCCAGAGCATTGCTGCCTGGATCTGTCAGAAGCTCAGCTTTCTGTTTGGGTGAAAGAACGCTCACAAGTGCTCCCTGATGAAACAAACCGAGAGAACAGGTGAATTTCATTTCTCTTTCATGTGACGCCGCGTGTGCGCCCGCCACAAAGAGGAGACTGTGCCCGCGTTCTCGCAGATCATCTACAGTAGGATGTGTGGCTTACCTGAGAGAGGTTGAAGAATTTGAGCTCAAAATATGTGGCGTATTGAGAAAATGGGCCCAGGTTTGTTTCCACCCACTGGGAATCGGTCTGGATGTTTACCCTGCAAGCTAAGGCACATACATGTACGTACATATCAGCTTTCCTTTCCTCTGACTATTTCGTCCATTTCTGTTTTAATTCTTATGAGGGATTTGTACTTTCCCATCAACGTGGCCGTGGCCGAGACGCCACGGTGTTAATGTGGAAAACTTACCTGGCCGGTTGATGACATCAGCAGAGTTTTTCAGGTACTGCAGCAAAACAGCTGCAATTTCTTCTTGTCTTTCCTGAGCTACGGCAGACACAACTTTGCCCATCACGCTGCAAAGATTGGAATAAATCTTTTAGACACGGTCCCTTAAGAGTTCTCTGTGATTTGGAGCTTTCAAAACGTCGATGTCCTTGATACACAACTCACATGACATGGTATTTTGTGCAGTTGATGTTGGTGATTACATCTTGGAGCATTTGTGGAGTGAAACTTGGGAGAACCGGGACCAGTTTGACATGGAACCAGTCAAAAAGATCCTTTTCAGGGAACTCTGGGAAAGAGGGACCGACGATGATGTAGGTCCTGTTCATGATGCGATCTCTGACGTCAACTTGAAACTCTGGGACCTAAATATTTATGACAGGAGACAAATCCAACACCACTCAGTTGCTACGATGCGAGCCCACCGTGTCGTACTCATGAAAAGTGGCAAAAACAGTAGGGTCCTATGAATTACTGCAATATTACGATTTGAATAGCTTTCCAATACCATTGACATAGCTTTTCAAACCGGGACTCTTGTGCCACTTGAAGGTGTAGCTTACCTCCTTCTCTGTAAGTTTGGTAAAGAATGCGTCCACGTTTTCAACAGCGTTTCCAACCTGCAGTCGCTCAAAGACTCGATCGACAAGTCGTGTGTCATTCGAGATGTCTGTGCTCAGCAGAAACTCTGCTACCTGAGAGGGAGACAGTTTCGACAGGACTTCGGCCTGCAACGATAGAAAACGAGAATTCAGCTTGAAGTCATTGTGGAACTTTGGAGTAGAAAATTCGGCAGATCCCCCCTTAAATCTTGTCAACCGCTTTAGTCACTCACTGGAGAAGTTGGGATAAAGGGCTTGCAGATCCTCTACGCTGGCAAATTGAGAGAAATTGCCAAAGTTGGCCTGTAGCCAGAGCTGACTACTATTGGCGGATGACACACAGCCTGGGTCTGCAAAACAACAGGAGTCAGAACACCGCCTGGTGTACAGTCACTACTTTACCAAGGAGGCCGGTGAGCCTGCGTGCACTTACCTGGCAAATCCTTTCTGGAAAGGAATGGTTGGATGAAGTGAGTAAAGACTGCTCGCTTTCTGTCGTTGTCCATCAGTGGGCTTTGGTTGCTGAATGCTCCGATGCTAAAATTTTGAGCGAGGGATTTTAACGTCAAAGGAGTCTGCCAGTTTCTTTGAGATACTGCGAACGCTCATGCAATAAGTCCTCCAGGTACTTACACAATCTGGTAGGTCTGGCAGCTGAAGTTGTAGGTGCCAAGGCAGAAGAGGAAATTTGTTGACGGGGAGGCCAGGAATGGACCGAGATCCATCTGGAACCAGCTTCTAACAAAATCTTCACTCTTCAGTTGAGCCTGTGTGAGGTTTTTAGCAACCACTTCTCTCAGAGCATCAAGAGGATTGGAATAGGCTGCGCTCATGGCGGTGGGGGCCTAGAGTTTGGGGAAAGATAGGTAGCATGTAGAAACGACACCAAAAAGCGCTCAGTATTTTTGAAACGACGGCGCTGGATATACCGTGGCGGAGAATGAGGCCAGAGCCTGTCTGAGTACGGGAGAAGCTTTTTGGAAAAGAAGCTGCCAAACTTCCACCACGTACATCCGGTTGCTTTCCAGAGAGCACTTCAAGAGCGTGGCCAAGTTTTCTGCTGAGAGTCGTCTTGTCTGAAGAAGAAATAAATCAAACTCTGAGCACGTGAGGTTGTTTTGGGTTTACAGCTTGCAATCAAACATCTTACCGGGGCACAGGCGTGTTCAGTGATGGTGAAGTTGCACACGGCTTCAGTAGAATTGTCATCTTCCAGTGCGTGGAGTTGAGAGCTGTGCAACGTAACCATAAAACAATGCAGCTTTGGTTACATTGGCCAAACCCACTTGCTAGCACTGCATCACATAAGACAGTCATCGGCTTACCTGTCTACCTCGGAGCAGATGAGTTTTTCTGTAAAAACACCAAAATTGTGCATGAGCTACTGCTATTTGACACGTGATATGTTGTTTCATCAATTCATAGATGGGTTATTCTCAGCAAACTTACCATCAACGTGTGTGTCTTTGCACTGGGGACAAACAAAGCAGCAACTGTTAGGTCAGTGGCAAAAGCTACATAGACTTATACAACGGCAATGTGCCACCCTCTAGTCCTGTAAATGAACATGACGTGGGGTCTCTTTGCCGTGAGAAACACCTTTGAGCCTTAGCTTACCGTGAAAGAATCCAGTGTTGCACAATCTGTTTGAAAGGAAGTTGAAATTAGACGTGGCTTGAACATGTCTCTTAAAGTGAGAGTTGCACCGGGCTTTTCTGAAGGAATTTCTCCGCGAAGCATTGGCCACACGTACCTGGGAAGGCCTCCTGCAGTGATTCCAGGCTTGACCTCACGTCCATTGAAATTTGCGGTGGCAGGATCTTCAGGCTTTCCATTAGGCCAGTGACTCTGAAAAGAAGGAAGGAAAACCGTCATTCAGGGGACTGGTATGGAACCGTAGTTCGATGTGGATCAAATGCCAAGGATCATATTCCTATCTTAGGGGTTTGGTCTCACATCGCTCCGTAGGCTTCACAGCTGATGTTACCGGGTATCACCCGCAGGCTGTCTGGTTGGATGCTTGCTATCACAGGAATCAAATAAACTTGAAACCACAGCTGGTAGTCTTGTACCTCAAAGTCGTCAAATTTAAGAGCCAGGCTGCTCAGAGTCAGGTTTAAGATGGTCTCTCGTACCGCCACATTTTGGATGTAGGTTGTGTTTGTCTGTTAGGGAAAGCAGGAAAATTGTAACTCGGGAGGACCTTTCATTCCAAGAGCATCCCGCAAAGAGCTGGACAAGGTCCGTGGCAAAGCTTCGGACTCTGCGTTCATCGAAACCAACACAAAAGATTTCTTGGCCAACATTTGATCTGCCAACCATTTGAAATACCTTCATTTACCTAGAAGGAAAACTTTGGAGCAAAATAACAAAGTTAAAGTTTGGCATTTACCTGCTGGAGTGACTGTGTGAACACCAGGAAAAACTGACCAAGCTGCTCCACATTGCCGGGCTCTGTCAAGTTTGTGAGCACCTCCTTTACGAGGGTGGCATCCTCCAGAGCATTGCTGCCTGGATCTGTCAGAAGCTCAGCTTTCTTTTTGGGTGAAAGAACGCTCACAAGTGCTCCCTGATGAAACAAACCGAGAGAGAACAGGTGAATTTCATTTCTCTTTCATGTGACGCCGCGTGTGCGCCCGCCACAAAGAGGAGACTGTGCCCGCGTTCTCGCAGATCATCTACAGTAGGATGTGTGGCTTACCTGAGAGAGGTTGAAGAATTTGAGCTCAAAATATGTGGCGTATTGAGAAAATGGGCCCAGGTTTGTTTCCACCCACTGGGAATCGGTCTGGATGTTTACCCTGCAAGCTAAGGCACATACATGTACGTACATATCAGCTTTCCTTTCCTCTGACTATTTCGTCCATTTCTGTTTTAATTCTTATGAGGGATTTGTACTTTCCCATCAACGTGGCCGTGGCCGAGACGCCACGGTGTTAATGTGGAAAACTTACCTGGCCGGTTGATGACATCAGCAGAGTTTTTCAGGTACTGCAGCAAAACAGCTGCAATTTCTTCTTGTCTTTCCTGAGCTACGGCAGACACAACTTTGCCCATCCCACTCACGCTGCAAAGATTGGAATAAATCTTTTAGACACGGTCCCTTAAGAGTTCTCTGTGATTTGGAGCTTTCAAAACGTCGATGTCCTTGATACACAACTCACATGACATGGTATTTTGTGCAGTTGATGTTGGTGATTACATCTTGGAGCATTTGTGGAGTGAAACTTGGGAGAACCGGGACCAGTTTGACATGGAACCAGTCAAAAAGATCCTTTTCAGGGAACTCTGGGAAAGAGGGACCGACGATGATGTAGGTCCTGTTCATGATGCGATCTCTGACGTCAACTTGAAACTCTGGGACCTAAATATTTATGACAGGAGACAAATCCAACACCACTCAGTTGCTACGATGCGAGCCCACCGTGTCGTACTCATGAAAAGTGGCAAAAACAGTAGGGTCCTATGAATTACTGCAATATTACGATTTGAATAGCTTTCCAATACCATTGACATAGCTTTTCAAACCGGGACTCTTGTGCCACTTGAAGGTGTAGCTTACCTCCTTCTCTGTAAGTTTGGTAAAGAATGCGTCCACGTTTTCAACAGCGTTTCCAACCTGCAGTCGCTCAAAGACTCGATCGACAAGTCGTGTGTCATTCGAGATGTCTGTGCTCAGCAGAAACTCTGCTACCTGAGAGGGAGACAGTTTCGACAGGACTTCGGCCTGCAACGATAGAAAACGAGAATTCAGCTTGAAGTCATTGTGGAACTTTGGAGTAGAAAATTCGGCAGATCCCCCCTTAAATCTTGTCAACCGCTTTAGTCACTCACACTGGAGAAGTTGGGATAAAGGGCTTGCAGATCCTCTACGCTGGCAAATTGAGAGAAATTGCCAAAGTTGGCCTGTAGCCAGAGCTGACTACTATTGGCGGATGACACACAGCCTGGGTCTGCAAAACAACAGGAGTCAGAACACCGCCTGGTGTACAGTCACTACTTTACCAAGGCCCGGTGAGCCTGCGTGCACTTACCTGGCAAATCCTTTCTGGAAAGGAATGGTTGGATGAAGTGAGTAAAGACTGCTCGCTTTCTGTCGTTGTCCATCAGTGGGCTTTGGTTGCTGAATGCTCCGATGCTAAAATTTTGAGCGAGGGATTTTAACGTCAAAGGAGTCTGCCAGTTTCTTTGAGATACTGCGAACGCTCATGCAATAAGTCCTCCAGGTACTTACACAATCTGGTAGGTCTGGCAGCTGAAGTTGTAGGTGCCAAGGCAGAAGAGGAAATTTGTTGACGGGGAGGCCAGGAATGGACCGAGATCCATCTGGAACCAGCTTCTAACAAAATCTTCACTCTTCAGTTGAGCCTGTGTGAGGTTTTTAGCAACCACTTCTCTCAGAGCATCAAGAGGATTGGAATAGGCTGCGCTCATGGCGGTGGGGGCCTAGAGTTTGGGGAAAGATAGGTAGCATGTAGAAACGACACCAAAAAGCGCTCAGTATTTTTGAAACGACGGCGCTGGATATACCGTGGCGGAGAATGAGGCCAGAGCCTGTCTGAGTACGGGAGAAGCTTTTTGGAAAAGAAGCTGCCAAACTTCCACCACGTACATCCGGTTGCTTTCCAGAGAGCACTTCAAGAGCGTGGCCAAGTTTTCTGCTGAGAGTCGTCTTGTCTGAAGAAGAAATAAATCAAACTCTGAGCACGTGAGGTTGTTTTGGGTTTACAGCTTGCAATCAAACATCTTACCGGGGCACAGGCGTGTTCAGTGATGGTGAAGTTGCACACGGCTTCAGTAGAATTGTCATCTTCCAGTGCTTGGAGTTGAGAGCTGTGCAACGTAACCATAAAACAATGCAGCTTTGGTTACATTGGCCAAACCCACTTGCTAGCACTGCATCACATAAGACAGTCATCGGCTTACCTGTCTACCTCGGAGCAGATGAGTTTTTCTGTAAAAACACCAAAATTGTGCATGAGCTACTGCTATTTGACACGTGATATGTTGTTTCATCAATCATAGATGGGTTATTCTCAGCAAACTTACCATCAACGTGTGTGTCTTTGCACTGGGGACAAACAAAGCAGCAACTGTTAGGTCAGTGGCAAAAGCTACATAGACTTATACAACGGCAATGTGCCACCCTCTAGTCCTGTAAATGAACATGACGTGGGGTCTCTTTGCCGTGAGAAACACCTTTGAGCCTTAGCTTACCGAAAGAATCCAGTGTTGCACAATCTGTTTGAAAGAAGTTGAAATTAGACGTGGCTTGAACATGTCTCTTAAAGTGAGAGTTGCACCGGGCTTTTCTGAAGGAATTTCTCCGCGAAGCATTGGCCACACGTACCTGGGAAGGCCTCCTGCAGTGATTCCAGGCTTGACCTCACGTCCATTGAAATTTGCGGTGGCAGGATCTTCAGGCTTTCCATTAGGCCAGTGACTCTGAAAAGAAGGAAGGAAAACCGTCATTCAGGGGACTGGTATGGAACCGTAGTTCGATGTGGATCAAATGCCAAGGATCATATTCCTATCTTAGGGGTTTGGTCTCACATCGCTCCGTAGGCTTCACAGCTGATGTTACCGGGTATCACCCGCAGGCTGTCTGGTTGGATGCTTGCTATCACAGGAATCAAATAAACTTGAAACCACAGCTGGTAGTCTTGTACCTCAAAGTCGTCAAATTTAAGAGCCAGGCTGCTCAGAGTCAGGTTTAAGATGGTCTCTCGTACCGCCACATTTTGGATGTAGGTTGTGTTTGTCTGTTAGGGAAAGCAGGAAAATTGTAACTCGGGAGGACCTTTCATTCCAAGAGCATCCCGCAAAGAGCTGGACAAGGTCCGTGGCAAAGCTTCGGACTCTGCGTTCATCGAAACCAACACAAAAGATTTCTTGGCCAACATTTGATCTGCCAACCATTTGAAATACCTTCATTTACCTAGAAGGAAAACTTTGGAGCAAAATAACAAAGTTAAAGTTTGGCATTTACCTGCTGGAGTGACTGTGTGAACACCAGGAAAAACTGACCAAGCTGCTCCACATTGCCGGGCTCTGTCAAGTTTGTGAGCACCTCCTTTACGAGGGTGGCATCCTCCAGAGCATTGCTGCCTGGATCTGTCAGAAGCTCAGCTTTCTGTTTGGGTGAAAGAACGCTCACAAGTGCTCCCTGATGAAACAAACCGAGAGAACAGGTGAATTTCATTTCTCTTTCATGTGACGCCGCGTGTGCGCCCGCCACAAAGAGGAGACTGTGCCCGCGCGTTCTCGCAGATCATCTACAGTAGGATGTGTGGCTTACCTGAGAGAGGTTGAAGAATTTGAGCTCAAAATATGTGGCGTATTGAGAAAATGGGCCCAGGTTTGTTTCCACCCACTGGAATCGGTCTGGATGTTTACCCTGCAAGCTAAGGCACATACATGTACATATCAGCTTTCCTTTCCTCTGACTATTTCGTCCATTTCTGTTTTAATTCTTATGAGGATTTGTACTTTCCCATCAACGTGGCCGTGGCCGAGACGCCACGGTGTTAATGTGGAAAACTTACCTGGCCGGTTGATGACATCAGCAGAGTTTTTCAGGTACTGCAGCAAAACAGCTGCAATTTCTTCTTGTCTTTCCTGAGCTACGGCAGACACAACTTTGCCCATCCCACTCACGCTGCAAAGATTGGAATAAATCTTTTAGACACGGTCCCTTAAGAGTTCTCTGTGATTTGGAGCTTTCAAAACGTCGATGTCCTTGATACACAACTCACATGACATGGTATTTTGTGCAGTTGATGTTGGTGATTACATCTTGGAGCATTTGTGGAGTGAAACTTGGGAGAACCGGGACCAGTTTGACATGGAACCAGTCAAAAAGATCCTTTTCAGGGAACTCTGGGAAAGAGGGACCGACGATGATGTAGGTCCTGTTCATGATGCGATCTCTGACGTCAACTTGAAACTCTGGGACCTAAATATTTATGACAGGAGACAAATCCAACACCACTCAGTTGCTACGATGCGAGCCCACCGTGTCGTACTCATGAAAAGTGGCAAAAACAGTAGGGTCCTATGAATTACTGCAATATTACGATTTGAATAGCTTTCCAATACCATTGACATAGCTTTTCAAACCGGGACTCTTGTGCCACTTGAAGGTGTAGCTTACCTCCTTCTCTGTAAGTTTGGTAAAGAATGCGTCCACGTTTTCAACAGCGTTTCCAACCTGCAGTCGCTCAAAGACTCGATCGACAAGTCGTGTGTCATTCGAGATGTCTGTGCTCAGCAGAAACTCTGCTACCTGAGAGGGAGACAGTTTCGACAGGACTTCGGCCTGCAACGATAGAAAACGAGAATTCAGCTTGAAGTCATTGTGGAACTTTGGAGTAGAAAATTCGGCAGATCCCCCCTTAAATCTTGTCAACCGCTTTAGTCACTCACACTGGAGAAGTTGGGATAAAGGGCTTGCAGATCCTCTACGCTGGCAAATTGAGAGAAATTGCCAAAGTTGGCCTGTAGCCAGAGCTGACTACTATTGGCGGATGACACACAGCCTGGGTCTGCAAAACAACAGGAGTCAGAACACCGCCTGGTGTACAGTCACTACTTTACCAAGGAGGCCCGGTGAGCCTGCGTGCACTTACCTGGCAAATCCTTTCTGGAAAGGAATGGTTGGATGAAGTGAGTAAAGACTGCTCGCTTTCTGTCGTTGTCCATCAGTGGGCTTTGGTTGCTGAATGCTCCGATGCTAAAATTTTGAGCGAGGGATTTTAACGTCAAAGGAGTCTGCCAGTTTCTTTGAGATACTGCGAACGCTCATGCAATAAGTCCTCCAGGTACTTACACAATCTGGTAGGTCTGGCAGCTGAAGTTGTAGGTGCCAAGGCAGAAGAGGAAATTTGTTGACGGGGAGGCCAGGAATGGACCGAGATCCATCTGGAACCAGCTTCTAACAAAATCTTCACTCTTCAGTTGAGCCTGTGTGAGGTTTTTAGCAACCACTTCTCTCAGAGCATCAAGAGGATTGGAATAGGCTGCGCTCATGGCGGTGGGGGCCTAGAGTTTGGGGAAAGATAGGTAGCATGTAGAAACGACACCAAAAAGCGCTCAGTATTTTTGAAACGACGGCGCTGGATATACCGTGGCGGAGAATGAGGCCAGAGCCTGTCTGAGTACGGGAGAAGCTTTTTGGAAAAGAAGCTGCCAAACTTCCACCACGTACATCCGGTTGCTTTCCAGAGAGCACTTCAAGAGCGTGGCCAAGTTTTCTGCTGAGAGTCGTCTTGTCTGAAGAAGAAATAAATCAAACTCTGAGCACGTGAGGTTGTTTTGGGTTTACAGCTTGCAATCAAACATCTTACCGGGGCACAGGCGTGTTCAGTGATGGTGAAGTTGCACACGGCTTCAGTAGAATTGTCATCTTCCAGTGCTTGGAGTTGAGAGCTGTGCAACGTAACCATAAAACAATGCAGCTTTGGTTACATTGGCCAAACCCACTTGCTAGCACTATGCATCACATAAGACAGTCATCGGCTTACCTGTCTACCTCGGAGCAGATGAGTTTTTCTGTAAAAACACCAAAATTGTGCATGAGCTACTGCTATTTGACACGTGATATGTTGTTTCATCAATTCATAGATGGGTTATTCTCAGCAAACTTACCATCAACGTGTGTGTCTTTGCACTGGGGACAAACAAAGCAGCAACTGTTAGGTCAGTGGCAAAAGCTACATAGACTTATACAACGGCAATGTGCCACCCTCTAGTCCTGTAAATGAACATGACGTGGGGTCTCTTTGCCGTGAGAAACACCTTTGAGCCTTAGCTTACCGTGAAAGAATCCAGTGTTGCACAATCTGTTTGAAAGAAAGTTGAAATTAGACGTGGCTTGAACATGTCTCTTAAAGTGAGAGTTGCACCGGGCTTTTCTGAAGGAATTTCTCCGCGAAGCATTGGCCACACGTACCTGGGAAGGCCTCCTGCAGTGATTCCAGGCTTGACCTCACGTCCATTGAAATTTGCGGTGGCAGGATCTTCAGGCTTTCCATTAGGCCAGTGACTCTGAAAAGAAGGAAGGAAAACCGTCATTCAGGGGACTGGTATGGAACCGTAGTTCGATGTGGATCAAATGCCAAGGATCATATTCCTATCTTAGGGGTTTGGTCTCACATCGCTCCGTAGGCTTCACAGCTGATGTTACCGGGTATCACCCGCAGGCTGTCTGGTTGGATGCTTGCTATCACAGGAATCAAATAAACTTGAAACCACAGCTGGTAGTCTTGTACCTCAAAGTCGTCAAATTTAAGAGCCAGGCTGCTCAGAGTCAGGTTTAAGATGGTCTCTCGTACCGCCACATTTTGGATGTAGGTTGTGTTTGTCTGTTAGGGAAAGCAGGAAAATTGTAACTCGGGAGGACCTTTCATTCCAAGAGCATCCCGCAAAGAGCTGGACAAGGTCCGTGGCAAAGCTTCGGACTCTGCGTTCATCGAAACCAACACAAAAGATTTCTTGGCCAACATTTGATCTGCCAACCATTTGAAATACCTTCATTTACCTAGAAGGAAAACTTTGGAGCAAAATAACAAAGTTAAAGTTTGGCATTTACCTGCTGGAGTGACTGTGTGAACACCAGGAAAAACTGACCAAGCTGCTCCACATTGCCGGGCTCTGTCAAGTTTGTGAGCACCTCCTTTACGAGGGTGGCATCCTCCAGAGCATTGCTGCCTGGATCTGTCAGAAGCTCAGCTTTCTGTTTGGGTGAAAGAACGCTCACAAGTGCTCCCTGATGAAACAAACCGAGAGAACAGGTGAATTTCATTTCTCTTTCATGTGACGCCGCGTGTGCGCCCGCCACAAAGAGGAGACTGTGCCCGCGTTCTCGCAGATCATCTACAGTAGGATGTGTGGCTTACCTGAGAGAGGTTGAAGAATTTGAGCTCAAAATATGTGGCGTATTGAGAAAATGGGCCCAGGTTTGTTTCCACCCACTGGGAATCGGTCTGGATGTTTACCCTGCAAGCTAAGGCACATACATGTACGTACATATCAGCTTTCCTTTCCTCTGACTATTTCGTCCATTTCTGTTTTAATTCTTATGAGGGATTTGTACTTTCCCATCAACGTGGCCGTGGCCGAGACGCCACGGTGTTAATGTGGAAAACTTACCTGGCCGGTTGATGACATCAGCAGAGTTTTTCAGGTACTGCAGCAAAACAGCTGCAATTTCTTCTTGTCTTTCCTGAGCTACGGCAGACACAACTTTGCCCATCCCACTCACGCTGCAAAGATTGGAATAAATCTTTTAGACACGGTCCCTTAAGAGTTCTCTGTGATTTGGAGCTTTCAAAACGTCGATGTCCTTGATACACAACTCACATGACATGGTATTTTGTGCAGTTGATGTTGGTGATTACATCTTGGAGCATTTGTGGAGTGAAACTTGGGAGAACCGGGACCAGTTTGACATGGAACCAGTCAAAAAGATCCTTTTCAGGGAACTCTGGGAAAGAGGGACCGACGATGATGTAGGTCCTGTTCATGATGCGATCTCTGACGTCAACTTGAAACTCTGGGACCTAAATATTTATGACAGGAGACAAATCCAACACCACTCAGTTGCTACGATGCGAGCCCACCGTGTCGTACTCATGAAAAGTGGCAAAAACAGTAGGGTCCTATGAATTACTGCAATATTACGATTTGAATAGCTTTCCAATACCATTGACATAGCTTTTCAAACCGGGACTCTTGTGCCACTTGAAGGTGTAGCTTACCTCCTTCTCTGTAAGTTTGGTAAAGAATGCGTCCACGTTTTCAACAGCGTTTCCAACCTGCAGTCGCTCAAAGACTCGATCGACAAGTCGTGTGTCATTCGAGATGTCTGTGCTCAGCAGAAACTCTGCTACCTGAGAGGGAGACAGTTTCGACAGGACTTCGGCCTGCAACGATAGAAAACGAGAATTCAGCTTGAAGTCATTGTGGAACTTTGGAGTAGAAAATTCGGCAGATCCCCCCTTAAATCTTGTCAACCGCTTTAGTCACTCACACTGGAGAAGTTGGGATAAAGGGCTTGCAGATCCTCTACGCTGGCAAATTGAGAGAAATTGCCAAAGTTGGCCTGTAGCCAGAGCTGACTACTATTGGCGGATGACACACAGCCTGGGTCTGCAAAACAACAGGAGTCAGAACACCGCCTGGTGTACAGTCACTACTTTACCAAGGAGGCCCGGTGAGCCTGCGTGCACTTACCTGGCAAATCCTTTCTGGAAAGGAATGGTTGGATGAAGTGAGTAAAGACTGCTCGCTTTCTGTCGTTGTCCATCAGTGGGCTTTGGTTGCTGAATGCTCCGATGCTAAAATTTTGAGCGAGGGATTTTAACGTCAAAGGAGTCTGCCAGTTTCTTTGAGATACTGCGAACGCTCATGCAATAAGTCCTCCAGGTACTTACACAATCTGGTAGGTCTGGCAGCTGAAGTTGTAGGTGCCAAGGCAGAAGAGGAAATTTGTTGACGGGGAGGCCAGGAATGGACCGAGATCCATCTGGAACCAGCTTCTAACAAAATCTTCACTCTTCAGTTGAGCCTGTGTGAGGTTTTTAGCAACCACTTCTCTCAGAGCATCAAGAGGATTGGAATAGGCTGCGCTCATGGCGGTGGGGGCCTAGAGTTTGGGGAAAGATAGGTAGCATGTAGAAACGACACCAAAAAGCGCTCAGTATTTTTGAAACGACGGCGCTGGATATACCGTGGCGGAGAATGAGGCCAGAGCCTGTCTGAGTACGGGAGAAGCTTTTTGGAAAAGAAGCTGCCAAACTTCCACCACGTACATCCGGTTGCTTTCCAGAGAGCACTTCAAGAGCGTGGCCAAGTTTTCTGCTGAGAGTCGTCTTGTCTGAAGAAGAAATAAATCAAACTCTGAGCACGTGAGGTTGTTTTGGGTTTACAGCTTGCAATCAAACATCTTACCGGGGCACAGGCGTGTTCAGTGATGGTGAAGTTGCACACGGCTTCAGTAGAATTGTCATCTTCCAGTGCGTGGAGTTGAGAGCTGTGCAACGTAACCATAAACAATGCAGCTTTGGTTACATTGGCCAAACCCACTTGCTAGCACTGCATCACATAAGACAGTCATCGGCTTACCTGTCTACCTCGGAGCAGATGAGTTTTTCTGTAAAAACACCAAAATTGTGCATGAGCTACTGCTATTTGACACGTGATATGTTGTTTCATCAATTCATAGATGGGTTATTGTCAGCAAACTTACCATCAACGTGTGTGTCTTTGCACTGGGGACAAACAAAGCAGCAACTGTTAGGTCAGTGGCAAAAGCTACATAGACTTATACAACGGCAATGTGCCACCCTCTAGTCCTGTAAATGAACATGACGTGGGGTCTCTTTGCCGTGAGAAACACCTTTGAGCCTTAGCTTACCGTGAAAGAATCCAGTGTTGCACAATCTGTTTGAAAGAAAGTTGAAATTAGACGTGGCTTGAACATGTCTCTTAAAGTGAGAGTTGCACCGGGCTTTTCTGAAGGAATTTCTCCGCGAAGCATTGGCCACACGTACCTGGGAAGGCCTCCTGCAGTGATTCCAGGCTTGACCTCACGTCCATTGAAATTTGCGGTGGCAGGATCTTCAGGCTTTCCATTAGGCCAGTGACTCTGAAAAGAAGGAAGGAAAACCGTCATTCAGGGGACTGGTATGGAACCGTAGTTCGATGTGGATCAAATGCCAAGGATCATATTCCTATCTTAGGGGTTTGGTCTCACATCGCTCCGTAGGCTTCACAGCTGATGTTACCGGGTATCACCCGCAGGCTGTCTGGTTGGATGCTTGCTATCACAGGAATCAAATAAACTTGAAACCACAGCTGGTAGTCTTGTACCTCAAAGTCGTCAAATTTAAGAGCCAGGCTGCTCAGAGTCAGGTTTAAGATGGTCTCTCGTACCGCCACATTTTGGATGTAGGTTGTGTTTGTCTGTTAGGGAAAGCAGGAAAATTGTAACTCGGGAGGACCTTTCATTCCAAGAGCATCCCGCAAAGAGCTGGACAAGGTCCGTGGCAAAGCTTCGGACTCTGCGTTCATCGAAACCAACACAAAAGATTTCTTGGCCAACATTTGATCTGCCAACCATTTGAAATACCTTCATTTACCTAGAAGGAAAACTTTGGAGCAAAATAACAAAGTTAAAGTTTGGCATTTACCTGCTGGAGTGACTGTGTGAACACCAGGAAAAACTGACCAAGCTGCTCCACATTGCCGGGCTCTGTCAAGTTTGTGAGCACCTCCTTTACGAGGGTGGCATCCTCCAGAGCATTGCTGCCTGGATCTGTCAGAAGCTCAGCTTTCTGTTTGGGTGAAAGAACGCTCACAAGTGCTCCCTGATGAAACAAACCGAGAGAACAGGTGAATTTCATTTCTCTTTCATGTGACGCCGCGTGTGCGCCCGCCACAAAGAGGAGACTGTGCCCGCGTTCTCGCAGATCATCTACAGTAGGATGTGTGGCTTACCTGAGAGAGGTTGAAGAATTTGAGCTCAAAATATGTGGCGTATTGAGAAAATGGGCCCAGGTTTGTTTCCACCCACTGGGAATCGGTCTGGATGTTTACCCTGCAAGCTAAGGCACATGTACGTACATATCAGCTTTCCTTTCCTCTGACTATTTCGTCCATTTCTGTTTTAATTCTTATGAGGGATTTGTACTTTCCCATCAACGTGGCCGTGGCCGAGACGCCACGGTGTTAATGTGGAAAACTTACCTGGCCGGTTGATGACATCAGCAGAGTTTTTCAGGTACTGCAGCAAAACAGCTGCAATTTCTTCTTGTCTTTCCTGAGCTACGGCAAGACACACTTTGCCCATCCCACTCACGCTGCAAAGATTGGAATAAATATTTTAGACACGGTCCCTTAAGAGTTCTCTGTGATTTGGAGCTTTCAAAACGTCGATGTCCTTGATACACAACTCACATGACATGGTATTTTGTGCAGTTGATGTTGGTGATTACATCTTGGAGCATTTGTGGAGTGAAACTTGGGAGAACCGGGACCAGTTTGACATGGAACCAGTCAAAAAGATCCTTTTCAGGGAACTCTGGGAAAGAGGGACCGACGATGATGTAGGTCCTGTTCATGATGCGATCTCTGACGTCAACTTGAAACTCTGGGACCTAAATATTTATGACAGGAGACAAATCCAACACCACTCAGTTGCTACGATGCGAGCCCACCGTGTCGTACTCATGAAAAGTGGCAAAAACAGTAGGGTCCTATGAATTACTGCAATATTACGATTTGAATAGCTTTCCAATACCATTGACATAGCTTTTCAAACCGGGACTCTTGTGCCACTTGAAGGTGTAGCTTACCTCCTTCTCTGTAAGTTTGGTAAAGAATGCGTCCACGTTTTCAACAGCATTTCCAACCTGCAGTCGCTCAAAGACTCGATCGACAAGTCGTGTGTCATTCGAGATGTCTGTGCTCAGCAGAAACTCTGCTACCTGAGAGGGAGACAGTTTCGACAGGACTTCGGCCTGCAACGATAGAAAACGAGAATTCAGCTTGAAGTCATTGTGGAACTTTGGAGTAGAAAATTCGGCAGATCCCCCCTTAAATCTTGTCAACCGCTTTAGTCACTCACACTGGAGAAGTTGGGATAAAGGGCTTGCAGATCCTCTACGCTGGCAAATTGAGAGAAATTGCCAAAGTTGGCCTGTAGCCAGAGCTGACTACTATTGGCAGATGACACACAGCCTGGGTCTGCAAAACAACAGGAGTCAGAACACCGCCTGGTGTACAGTCACTACTTTACCAAGGAGGCCCGGTGAGCCTGCGTGCACTTACCTGGCAAATCCTTTCTGGAAAGGAATGGTTGGATGAAGTGAGTAAAGACTGCTCGCTTTCTGTCGTTGTCCATCAGTGGGCTTTGGTTGCTGAATGCTCCGATGCTAAAATTTTGAGCGAGGGATTTTAACGTCAAAGGAGTCTGCCAGTTTCTTTGAGATACTGCGAACGCTCATGCAATAAGTCCTCCAGGTACTTACACAATCTGGTAGGTCTGGCAGCTGAAGTTGTAGGTGCCAAGGCAGAAGAGGAAATTTGTTGACGGGGAGGCCAGGAATGGACCGAGATCCATCTGGAACCAGCTTCTAACAAAATCTTCACTCTTCAGTTGAGCCTGTGTGAGGTTTTTAGCAACCACTTCTCTCAGAGCATCAAGAGGAATAGGCTGCGCTCATGGCGGTGGGGGCCTAGAGTTTGGGGAAAGATAGGTAGCATGTAGAAACGACACCAAAAGCGCTCAGTATTTTTGAAACGACGGCGCTGGATATACCGTGGCGGAGAATGAGGCCAGAGCCTGTCTGAGTACGGGAGAAGCTTTTTGGAAAAGAAGCTGCCAAACTTCCACCACGTACATCCGGTTGCTTTCCAGAGAGCACTTCAAGAGCGTGGCCAAGTTTTCTGCTGAGAGTCGTCTTGTCTGAAGAAGAAATAAATCAAACTCTGAGCACGTGAGGTTGTTTTGGGTTTACAGCTTGCAATCAAACATCTTACCGGGGCACAGGCGTGTTCAGTGATGGTGAAGTTGCACACGGCTTCAGTAGAATTGTCATCTTCCAGTGCGTGGAGTTGAGAGCTGTGCAACGTAACCATAAAACAATGCAGCTTTGGTTACATTGGCCAAACCCACTTGCTAGCACTGCATCACATAAGACAGTCATCGGCTTACCTGTCTACCTCGGAGCAGATGAGTTTTTTCTGTAAAAACACCAAAATTGTGCATGAGCTACTGCTATTTGACACGTGATATGTTGTTTCATCAATTCATAGATGGGTTATTGTCAGCAAACTTACCATCAACGTGTGTGTCTTTGCACTGGGGACAAACAAAGCAGCAACTGTTAGGTCAGTGGCAAAAGCTACATAGACTTATACAACGGCAATGTGCCACCCTCTAGTCCTGTAAATGAACATGACGTGGGGTCTCTTTGCCGTGAGAAACACCTTTGAGCCTTAGCTTACCGTGAAAGAATCCAGTGTTGCACAATCTGTTTGAAAGGAAGTTGAAATTAGACGTGGCTTGAACATGTCTCTTAAAGTGAGAGTTGCACCGGCTTTTCTGAAGGAATTTCTCCGCGAAGCATTGGCCACACGTACCTGGGAAGGCCTCCTGCAGTGATTCCAGGCTTGACCTCACGTCCATTGAAATTTGCGGTGGCAGGATCTTCAGGCTTTCCATTAGGCCAGTGACTCTGAAAAGAAGGAAGGAAAACCGTCATTCAGGGGACTGGTATGGAACCGTAGTTCGATGTGGATCAAATGCCAAGGATCATATTCCTATCTTAGGGGTTTGGTCTCACATCGCTCCGTAGGCTTCACAGCTGATGTTACCGGGTATCACCCGCAGGCTGTCTGGTTGGATGCTTGCTATCACAGGAATCAAATAAACTTGAAACCACAGCTGGTAGTCTTGTACCTCAAAGTTGTCAAATTTAAGAGCCAGGCTGCTCAGAGTCAGGTTTAAGATGGTCTCTCGTACCGCCACATTTTGGATGTAGGTTGTGTTTGTCTGTTAGGGAAAGCAGGAAAATTGTAACTCGGGAGGACCTTTCATTCCAAGAGCATCCCGCAAAGAGCTGGACAAGGTCCGTGGCAAAGCTTCGGACTCTGCGTTCATCGAAACCAACACAAAAGATTTCTTGGCCAACATTTGATCTGCCAATCATTTGAAATACCTTCATTTACTTTTTACCTCTATTACATAGCATTTTAGTCGTAAGCAGGAATTTTATGACGCATCATTGAGAGGGGAAAATGGAGAAGCAATATCTAACAGGAGAATCATAATTTCTCCATTTTGATCATTTTTTCCATTTTAGAATAGAATTACACTTTCTATTTACTTTTGGTAGCAGAATTTAATCATTATTTTTTGTGTTTTTTCTTTGACATTTTGTTCTCTTTGTCTCTTTTAATAATCACTTTTATGTTCATGAAAAATGACAACTATGAGTTAATGTTAGTCTTTACCTCTTTGCTTAGTAGTGAAAACATCTGAAAAAACTGGTCCAGTTGCTCATCATCTCCAAACATTGTCAGGTTTTTGATGATTATTCTGACAAAGTCGGCATTGTCCAAAACACCGCTGTCTGGATCCAGGATCAGCTCTGCTCTCTGCTGTGGTGAGAGCTTCTCCACCACTTCACTCTGTTTCAACACAAAAGTTTTCTCTGTCAGTTCACTAAAACCTTTTTTCCTCTTTCTGTTTTTCTCTGAAATGTTTTTTTGTTTAGGTATAAAACTTTACTTACTCCAGAAAAATTTCTGTTCATTGTTTTGAGGTCTTGAAGTCTTGCAAAGACCAAAAAGCTCCGAATGTTTTTTTCCAGCCATTCTTCAATTCCTGCCACATTTTCTGTGCATCCAGGTTCTGTTTAAATTATATTATGGTTTATTTAAAAGTTGAATCTACTGCTTTTATATGAGACAATTTTTTGTAAGGGTTTCTGCTGCTATTTTTCTCTTGTTTTTCTTCTTTGTTTTTTATTTAAAAAATGCTCTTAATCATTTCTTCATCTTTTAATCTTTTTCTTACCTGCTGTGTTCTTTCTTGTCAGATACACCCGAATGAAGTTGCTGTAGATTTGTTTCCTCTCTGTTGTCTGAGACGCCTCAAGTCCTTCACTGAGAGACTTCACCCTAAGACATTCATCGAATCTAAATCATTTCACTTTAATTCCATAAATCTATCTCTGTCTTGTGTACAGAATAAAGCTGCAGCCAATGGTAACCATAACAGTAGCACAGACAGAATAATCATTTTTGTCAGCATGAAACTATTGGATAGTTCTGACAGTAAAGTTTCATGCTCAGGTCCACTTGTTTTACCAATTTTTTCAGGTTTACTCTTAATTGTCTAGAGAGTTGAGTTGTTGCTTGATGTGAAAAGTTGCTTTATAAAAACACTGAAGTAAACTGAAACTCATGCAGAGTTCTTCAAAATGCACCAATTTCTATATTTTAAACTAGTTTTCTATGATATTGACCAAACCTGATATTGACCATCCTGGAGACGTTTTGATCTGCTTTTAGATTATTCTCACATTTGCACCATTTGCTGTTTGGAGGCACCTACTGAAAAATAGTCACCTTTGCCTTTAAGAGGCTTGTTTCTGTTGGAATTACCCAGAACACAACTTCTGAGTAAGACTAACTGGAGCTGTAATTACTTTTTAATCTCCTTTAAACTGTTGATCTTGTGCAAAATTCTGCCCCCTGGTGTCTGGAGTGCGTATTGCAGCCAGAGAGGCAGATCTGGCCATTTTTACGGCACTTCTGATTGATTTCTCAGTAAAACAACTCAGATAATCATGTCAAGGTTGTAGCTTTCCGTTTAATCGCCAGCTTACAAAATAATAAAATAAATAAATGAGGTCTTCTTACTTCGTTTTGTGTTATTTTTAATGGCCAAGAGACAAAAAAGTCACCAATCACAGTTTTCCAAAAGGTAGTGTGTATTTATCATTTTTCGTTGCAGATATAAGAGGATGAAGTTGTCTGATAGCGATGCACAAACATTAAGACTTTCTGGTAAATCCTGTTCTCATGTAAAATATGACAGATTACTGGATCAGGGAAATGTCTACTACATCCTATCATACATAACATTTTTGACAATTTGGAAACAGTTGCTCTTTATTTCCCAAAGTTATGGTGGGAGGAGAGGAGAGAATCAATATTTCAGCTTCCTGAAATAATCTGTAGCCCGTCCATAAACTAGAAACAAGTTAATTTTCCAGGAAGTGGAACTATGTTTATTCCTTTCATCATCAACAATAGATCATGTAAGTTTGAGAACATTTGCTCAATTTTTTCCAAAATTATGAGGGGGGAACCAAATATTTTAGCCACCTGGAATAATCCGTTGCCCCAAAATAAAATTGGAACAAATTACCAGCAAGTCTTTAACTGTGTTTATTCCTCTCATCATCAACAACAAATCATGTGATTTTGGTAACATTTGCTTCTTGTTTGCTAAGGCTTGGGTTACATCAATTTAACTTTGATATTCAAACAGCACAATACGTTTGGAAACTAAATCTCTCCTCGAACTTAGACACCTTCTGCAAATGAGTTTCCAATGAGATCTCAGATTTTTTGGCTTGCAATGATAATGGGGCAGTCTCTGATTCTACTCTTTGGGAATCTGTCAAGGTTGTCATAAGATGTGATATTGTATCAATCCAATGTCAAAAGAATCAGACGCAGTCGTCTGGCTGAAATTGAGAAGCGATCAATCACCTTGGAAGACATATTTCGTAGCTCCAATTCTGACCATATATTCTCATCTATTGTGAATTTAAAGTATGAATATAACTGCATTTTGGGTGAGCGGGTTTTGGACGATATTTAGAGGTACCCTGAACTGGGGGACAAGGTAGATCAAATACTGTCTCGTAGCTGAAGGACATCCAGGCTGAGTGAGCCATTAATAAGATCATTTCTCCAGGGGATATTACGCAATTTATTCAACCATTAGACGCTTCAACTTCTACAGATGCTGCCAGGCTGAAACTAGATGGTGATGTAACTGGAGGAGATGAAGGCATCAAGCCACTCTTCCTAGTGGAAAGGCATGCGGCCCTGATGGCTTCGGTATCAAGTTTCACAAGGTAGACTGGATTATACTGCGTACAGTCAAGTCTTCCATTGAGGTTGGGCATTTTCCTGAATCCCTATATGATGCCAATATTTGTCTTTTATTTAAAAAGGACAGAGAAGCTTTTAATGTGGCATCATATCGCCCCTTCAGCCTGCTGTACTAATCAGAAAATTATTGCTAAGGTTTTAGTTCATCAATTGTCTTCCCACATCAGCGCTCTGGTACATCCAGATCTATCTGGATTCATTCCAGAAAGATTCTGGAAGAGAACATCAAGTACTCTTCTCTTCTGCTCTTACCAATTCAGCAATCATATCTTGGGACGTCCAGCAGGCATTTGATCAGGTGGAGCGGGGACACATGACTAAAACGGCTTCATGGAGGAACAACCGTCCTCCCCCCTCACACACACACACACACACACACACACACACACACACACACACACACACACACACACACACACACACACACACACACACACACACTTCATGCATGGAGCCACTGCATCCTAAATGCACAGAACCGAGCGTTGTGCGCTGACTTTCTTGTTCTTGTTTTTGGATGAATGTGATTTTGGTTTTTTAAATAAACAACCATATTTTTACAATTTCTTGTCTTGTGTTTCTTTTTCCTTTTTAATAGAAAATATTGCTAAACATTATTAAATGAGGTGGAATCAGAACCAGATGTTGGGACCAGGACAGACAATGAGACCCTGGCCACCATGGAGCATCTGCTCGATAGACTTACAGTTCTTGGAAGGAAGTGCAGCTGAAGTTCCTGTTGCCAAGCTGGAAGAGGAATCTGTCAGTGACAAAAGGCAACAGGAAAGTCATCTTCAGAGAGAACCAGAGCCTGATGAATGCCGGGTCGTTGTAGTCATCCACGCTCAGGCTGTCCAGGATCCCAATTTGTTCCAAAACATCGAATCCAGACAGATTGGTGCCCTATTATCAAAAATATATATCTAACACTGGCAGAAAATTGACTATAGATGCATTTTTAATAAAGTTATTAGTATGAATTCACCAAATTACTGAGTTGTAGACAGATTAATTACCAAGTCTGAAAAGACTTTAATAGACGAGTTAACAATCCGCCGGATGTTTTGTTCCACCTCCATGAACGAGTCTTCAGTCTGGCTTCCATTTTCCTTCCTTTTACAAGAAAGTTCTCCCACCAGCGAGTCCACCGCTGCAAATACCTGCAAACACAACAAGACAGCAGCGTGGAGAGAGTTCATGCTGAGCACTAGAGGGAGTCAGTTCTCAACAGGCAGTGAGGAGGACGCCTACGCTGCGGCTGACGTCCAGCAGGACGTCTCCTGGGCATGATTCCTGGGACGTGGAGCTTCAGGAGCGAAACAGCAAAGAGTCAGATCAGTAAAATACGGCTGAGCCTGAATGAGGACAGCAGAGGGAAACTGACCTGATTCCAGGGGTCAGGAAACCTGAACCAGGAAAAGTGGAAAAACAGAAATTAGTTTGTTTTTGGTGGAGTTTAATTTGCAGAAAGTTGTGTTCATACCTTGGGTTGTGTTGTTCTGTAAATACAATTATCATACAAAATATTAATACAGAACATTTCCACAGCTTTTATTTTTGAAAAAAAAAACAGGCAGAACGTACGGTTGCAGAGGCCACACATGCGACAAATACTGCAGGAAGAACAAACATATTATTAATTTGTATGAACATTAAAAATATTCAGTGTTGTTTGGTCTTTGCTCACCGATCCCAAACGCTGACAGAACCAGAAGTTGTGGGAAAGTTATCGGGTCGCCCATTGTGGGTGACGAAGCTTCACTTGTCCTTGTTCACCTTTTTCACTTCACTGACATTTCAAACAGATGAAAATCTGAAGTCCTGAAGCAATAAAAACATTTATGTTTCATTCATAAACATTTATCGACATGTTTTATGTCCAGAAACAATTAGAGCTTCTATCAGAGTAAACGGTCTCAGCAGCACAACACGCTTTTCTTCCCTAAAATCTGCAAAGCCACAAATATTCGTTCATTTCTGCTGCCAGAATTATAGGAACAATATGATCAAATCTAAACGTGTGAAAATCTCTAATCCAAAATCAAAACTGCATGATAGTTTTTGCACAGCTCAATAAGAGCGATGGAAACAGAAGTGCTGCTGCGGAGGAAACCTGCGTCTCTCGGCTCTGCTGTAAACCCAACCTGCTGAATGCGACGCTTTGGGCATCACTGGGAGGGAGGAGGAAACCAGTTCACAGCAACGCAAGACCAGTAAACCCAACATGTTCAGTTAGATTCCTTTAGCATGAAATCATTTCAGAGCCTGTCAGTCAGAAACCAAAGAAACTCATGACTGGATCCACTGCTGTCTCTAGACCACCAGACTGGGAGAACTGGGAGCAAAAGACTCTCTGAAAGTCAAAAATGATACAAAAGTTTCACATCAGGAGCGTCAGATTATCTGCTCCAGAATTCATTTTTATTTAACATTTATTTTTAAAACTGATCAAATGAATAAAAGCTCTGAATGTTCATTGGTCCTGAATCACAGCAGGACGTTGTGTATTAAAACGGCTTCATCATTTCACCCACATCATGGTTAACATCAAGCCCAGGCTTTGACTAGACCAGTGGCAGCTGCAGGATGTTTTCCCACATCTGGACTCTGTTGACTCTCAGCAGAACCTCGTCTGCCCTTAAAGAGTTCACAGGCTGTGAGGAGTCACACTCAATAAGATGCATTCAGGGGAAACTGGACTCTTCACTCATCAGAAAGGAATAAAAGCCCTGAAGCCTCACGACGACTCTCAACTTGGACATGTTTTATATTTGCGTCACTGAGCGCCTGCAGGACATCAACCCAGATGGACCAATCAACCGTTTGGATATTTCATAAGCTTCTTGTTCTGGATCTAAGAATAACCTGTTCAGTAACTGACAACCTTTTTCTCATTCCTGAACGTCAACCTGAATCCGAGCTGCAGCTTCACGTCATTTCTCCTCCGGTTCTCATGTCCACAGGATTCACTGGAACAACCAGGATGCAGAGAGCCAACGTTTCACACAGGCATCACTTCCAGCTGGAATCCAGATTCACACAGCAGCCGAGAAGCTCCTGAGGAACAGCGAACAGATCTGAACGTCGTCTCCCAACGTTCAGCTCTGGCCTCCAGCAATCTGCTCACACATGCTTGTTTTATAAAAAGTCAAAACTGTAATGAAAAAGAAAGACATAATTCAGCCACACCTGTTTGGCACCTGAACGCTTCAGACACACCCAGACATCAAAACCAACAGAAACATTTCTGCTTCTGTCTGCTACTTGATGCTAAATCTCTGAATTATGTACATTTTGTCTATTTGAGGAAACATCTGAATCCAACAAACAGGAAAAGATGAAAGAAGAACTACATGAAATTCATGTTTTCTGCAGGATTTTAATTTCTTAAACTTTGTCATTTTGTTCAGATTTTGAAGAAAATACCAGGACTTCCTCCCAGACTCTCAACTCAGTCCAGTTTCAGAGCCTTGATTGTGCGTCATTAGAGAGGAGTCATACAAAATTTACAGAATCAACTGAAGAGTTCTCCAAACCTTTACAAGATGTCCGCCAAGCCCAGTTCATGAAAAATCCCTGCTGCTCCCTCTGTTCCCCACAGGGCAGTTTCTGTTGGAAACTAAAGTCTCAATAATTCAAAGATGCAGTGAAGTCTCTGGCTGAGATTTTATTTTCACGTTTTTTTAAATGTATTACCTGTTATGGAGTTTGTTGTATTTTTAGGCCCATTTCTTTACCTCCTGATGATGACAGCAAACATGGCTCGACCCGGTTCTACTAGAACCAGAACATCTGCTCCACCTCCAGCTGCTGTGGTTCTGACCCAAACCAGCCAGTTCCCCTCCTGGCCTGTGGGGGCGCTGCACCAACAACCACTGCAGGAAACGACACTAAAACCTCTGAAGACACTGAGAGCAACTTCCTGTTTCACCAGATGAAACAAGATGGAGGCGTCAGAGTTTAGTGATTTCTCTTTAGTCTTTGGCTGAAGACCAGGAGCCATTTCTGCTGCTAGCGCTAGGCTAGCATGTTAGCTTTGGTTACCCAGAATGCCCTGCGCTGTAGTTCACTTCCTGCTTTTGGAGCGCTCTCTGGGCCGCTTGGCGTTCACATTCAAATCAAACCAGACAGGTTTGGAGGACCAGAGGTCAGAGGTCAATTAGCGTTCACACCGAACTGGACTTTGACTAGACTAATGGACTAGAATTGGATTGAAGTGGATAATTTAAATATATCTTAGTACTGAATCTTGAAATACATCAGCAAGAATAAAGTTAGATCAGATTTAGACAAAACTGAAGTTTAAAAGTTCAAGATAAATCATATTTAGATTGAGCCGAATCATTGATGATATTTGATAATAAAGTTCAATAAGTTCATGTGTTTAAACAGGATGATGGAGTTTTTACCAACAAACACCAAAATCTTTATTTGTCTTCACTTCAGCTGTTGGACATTGGAACGGATCAGGTCCAACATGGAGCAGAATCAGAACCGATTCTGTTCATGAGCTCAAATCTTTTCAAGGAGCTGCAGCAGGTTTAAAGTGCCGTCCTCATGCAGGACATGAGGACATGAGGACATGAGGATGGTTCAGATGCTTCCCTTGATGAGCAGCGGGAGTTCTGGTCCAAAGTAACTATTGATGCATATTCAGACATGAAGGGAGGAGCCAGAAGTTCCCTCGCTCTGAAACTTTCCTGTGTTTTTCCCCCTACAGCAGAATTTCATCAGATCTTTAAACTCAGCCAGTCTCAGTGTGACCTTTTGACCCAGAGCAGCTTCGCTTCTGGAGCCACAAGAACCAAAACCAGGTTCCAGCTTTTAAAGTCAACACTTTCAGTTTGTCTCTGGTTTCGACCGGCTGTCGCCATGGCAACACGTTTCACATCAGCAGGTCGCCGTGCTTCTTCCTCATCATCATCATCAGTCGACTCTGTTTCCCACATCCTGCTTCCCTCCAGCCTGGATCGCTGACCTCTGACCTCTCCTCAGATTGGTCGCCTCCAGAACTCAGAGGCTCGTTTCTGAAACTCGCTCACTTCTTCTCATCAGCCACTGATTGCAATCTGTGAGGTCACTTCCTGCCAGCTGGAAACGGCTAATCTGTAATAATCTGCTGAGCGTTTGGTCCTGCTGCTGCTGCTGCGCTGCTGCTGCTGCTGCTGCTGCTGCTGCTGCTGCTGCTGCTGCTGCAGGTTTCCTGCTGCTGCTGCTGCTGCAGGTTTCCTGCTGCTTTGCTGGGATTATTGGCTCCAACAGAGTGGAGGACCATCAGCATGATGCTGCCGTGACCAGCAGCAGGAAAACTGACCACATATAGAAGAGAAGGATTATAGTGAAGACCAGAGCAGGAAATGAAGGTCAACTCTAAGGTCAAATGCATCGGTGTTGGACTGAGCCGACTGGATCAGCGACTGGATCACCAACATAAAGTTTCTGCGAAATGTTAGTTTGGACCGAAGCAGAACTTTCTGCTCAGAGAAAATCCTCTGGGACCGGGAGCCGCCGGCCGGCTGGCGGCTCAGGTTCTGCTTGGAGAGGGAGAGGATCAGGAGGCGCTGAGGCTGTGAAGGCGGCGGGGAAGCGAGCGGCAGGCGGTCGTGTCGGGTTGGGAAGGAGCGGATGAAAGCTGGACGTGGTTCCTGGCTTGATCTTCACTGCTGCTCAGGATCTGTCACACGGTAAACAGGATTAACTTATAACTCATATCACTGACAGTGACGTGAACTTGAGCTTTGACTCTGACCAACAAGTGGGAGAATCGAGTGACGAACAAACGAATCTGAAGACAGATTCATGTCCTGGATTGTCTCTCTGCTCTATTGACCGAATTAATTGTTCGTTCAGTCTGAATAATTTCTGATTCCAACCATTTTTCTACATTTCTGAGCCGTTTTCAGTCTGAAGTCCAGTGGTGCTGCTGGACCCACAGCCAATAGAGGCGCTGCCCATTAAAACCTTCATAGTTTTCCCGTTGCCCAACCCGTTGCCCAACCCGTTGCCCAACCCGTTGCCCCAGCAGAGCAACGCCCTGGTTCTCAGTCAGTTCAGCTGCAACTCAAAACAGACGAGTTGCTTTATTTCTTTCTTTGACATAAAATCATTGAGTTTTTCTTTTTGAAGATCTTCAGATGAATTTAGTTGCAAATTGTTTTCTTGAATGTAGATTAAACTAAAACTGATTGTTTATGGGCTTTAATTAACATCTTCAGTTGTGGAAACTGTAAACTTTGATGATTTGTTTATGAAAACATGAAATCAAATCTTCTCTGAAACCTGTGATGTGAATCTGAGCAGAAACGCCAGAAAGTCGTTTCAAACGTTCACCGATCAGAAGGACAGAGAATCCGGTTCCGCTGCATTCCCTCATTCCGGTTTTTCTTCTTGGATTTTATGGTTTTTATTCGTGACGCCTCATCTGTGTCACGCCCGGTAACTGGATTGCTGACCTCTGACCTTCAGGGCTTCCGTAGCAGCAGCAGCGTAACGCCGCCAGACTCAGCAGGTCTCACTGGGATCATTTCACTTCAAACTGAGTTTTCTGTCTGTTTCTGGCAGAAAAAATCATTTCTTACATTATTATGTTTATGCAGAAACAGATTCTGGTTCTTTAAAAATGAAGTCAAACTGGATTCACAGTCAGGATCCAGATCAACAATCAAACCTTCTGAACTTGGTGATTCTGGGAAACAAAACGACTCGAACTTCCTGAAGCCGTGACCATGACGACTCACCATGTCACTCAGACACAGACTTTCACATGTGAACTCATGACATGCTGCTGCTGCAGCTGCTGCTGCTGCTGCTGCTGCTGC